GGAATAAACTTCAACAGTAAATTTGAGTACATTTTCTTTTTTAGGAAAAACCAAAATCAATGAAATATGGAAAAATAGCTTACATAATATATTATGTTTTCTGCAGTGTCACGTCATGTGTGTAGAAAAGAAATGTCATATAGATTTATCTTATGTAAGGCACAGTCATTAGTTTTTGTTAATTTTTATAGAATAACTGCAGCAAAGTGTTCGAGTTAAGAATATAGTCTGTAATTTTATGTTCATAATAATTTTTGCCCTTTGTTTAATATCAACGTGCTGAGGTAATAAAGCGTTCGTGTCATGCGAACCGCCGCGTTGCCGCTACCGGCAAACCCCAACGCAGATTACACTTTTGGCCTAATAACACCGTCTGTTATTATGTGATACAGCTCAGGTCGTATAACAATAATAACTAATAATAATATAATTGTATGCAAATAAATTAAAAACAAAAAAACAATGATATCAACTATCTAACTACGCTGTTGATACCCCAACCCCCTCCCGCAAGGTACGGGTCACCATTAATTATTTATACTTACAATTTGTAAGTTATACGCTTATTTAATAATGCCATTATAAAAGATAATATATTAAAATCAGTCCGCGGTTTTGCTAATCACGTGACAACTATGAAAAAACATATACTGGGCGATTCAGGATAAGACATTAATTACTTTTAAAATATTTTGTAGTTTGTCTTAGTGGAGACACTATAGTTTTTTATTTCACAACATTAGCTATTGCTCTATCAACTTTTTAAACATAAATGGTAATGTATATATTATTTAACTTTAAAGCTTTTTAAAACAAGAATAATTTTCTGAACATTTTGACAGGTAAAAAACAAGTTTTCAATAAATATTTTGAAGGTTATTTAATTTTAAAATGTAGGACGAGAGATAGAGTGCAGTTGAGGAATGCACACAGATAAAATAATAACTCTACATCCATAATACAATAACTACATCCCTCCTCCATTAAGTTTCAAAAATTGATAGAGTTCAAAAAATACTAAAAAAAGTTAATTATTTAGTAATTTTTAAATATTGTAAAAAAAAACCACAAACAAAAGTATCTTCAAAAAAAAAAAAACTACAAAATTGCTATTATTTTAAGAGAAAATGAGTGTCCTTATAAATCAACCCTGTATTACCCTGGTCTATAAAAGTAAAATTGGTCTTTCCTTACCGTGTATTCTCCTTAAAACTAAATTAGGTTAAATAAGGTAAATTCGATTAGGAAAATGTATGCTTTATCAATTACAGTTTCTATTTTGCTTTTTTTTTTGTCGTTATTAATAATTGATGTGGTTGACTGGCCTCTTATTTAATCAAAAAACACTAAACCTTAAATGTATTATCATTAGGAAAAAAATCTCCTTTCCACTTTACCTACCACATATTTATAACTTTTATCATTTTTTATAGTTACCGTTATAAACAGCTCTACTTTTATTACTAACTGATAAATATAACTTATAAAAAAACAATATTCAAATCTTTGCATAATATTCAATATCATAAAACTAAATCTCAAAAACCTTCGATTGTGGTTCTATTTATACTCTCGGCTATAAAGCCATTAAGCCGCTAAATTGATATTTTTAAAAATTAATTAAAAAACAAAATGGTTATAACAAAGTTATAGCAAAACTTTTTAATCTATTTGAAAAACCAATGGAATCATTTAAATGATCCAATCAAGTTTAACCAGGCTGAGTGTAAACATAATGCATTTAGCCTAATTTTGAATTATTCCGCTATGCCGTACAATTGTTATTATTACTTCTAGAGCAATAACGCGTTAAGCAGCTTAGTCTAAAACGAAAAAAGTTTTGTAGTTTTGCCAGACATTCTTTAAACCGCATAAAGTCTATAGCTCCTTATTCCTCTATAATACAACCATATCTATGTGGTAGAATTTACCAAAGAAGTGTACGACAGAAACATATTATAGTACATTTTTTATTCAAAATGACCATGTATTTCAGTACGTATAATGTATCCCAACAAAACTACTTCACTAGCTCAGAGTAAACGGTAACTGAGTAAAAAAAAAAACATAGGAAGTGTTTTAACATAAGTCTTAAAAGATGTGATATATTATGGGAACTAAGTAAATACCATAATTCAGGTTAAATAAAACACACACCGTTGCCAACATATAAAATCTGGGTACAACCTATGTATTACATTATAAAATATCCAGAACAAAACAGTATTTTTTAGCATAAAAATCACAAGACCTCGAAAACGTTGTACCTTTTTCTTTGTAACTAAGGAAGTATTCAACCAATCTTATTTTTTTGGAAAGAGACTACACATCCATTTTTTTTACTTAGCTCTGCACCACTTCCGTGTCGCTGGATATAGTATATACTACATTATATTTAAATTATCCAGATATTTCTTAGTGTGAAAATGGAATCGCCCAGGCAATCCCAGCTTGTGAGCTCTTTTTGAATATAGGCAGTGGTTATGGTAGAGATTGCATTAGTTTGGCGAAGGGAGAAAAATAGTTTGTTAGAAATTCACAGTTTAAAAGGAATTTGTGAACTGCGACAAGGTTTGATTGATTTATTAGTTAAAAATAAGATTCCTGAATCTGAATTCTGAATAAGATTTGTAAAGCAAAAAATATGAACAAAATGTATGTTTGTATGTTATGACCTATGTACGTCTCATTCTTATATTATTATTTCACTATATTGTAAGCGGTATGCTCACTATATTGTTGTTGTATTTTCTTTTGCCTGACCCGTTTCCTTTGAAAATCGTTACAAAGCCATTTTGTTAATAATATAAAATGCATGCAACGAATAAACGCTTAAACGATTTATGACAATAATTGGATACATAAATAAACTTTATTATAATAGACTACAACTTACAAGTAGATTGTTTTCACCCGCATATTGCTGACATTTTATCGATTCAGTCGTTTGAACTCGAGTCTGAACCGATCTAAAACCGGATCGTTTTTTAACAAAAACTATTGAACTTCAGAGATTTTTTTAATTTTTGCAAACAATTATTTTTTGTATATGTATTGTGTACTATAATTAAGGCTCGTCATTCATTTAATGTTTAAAATTGTATAATAGCTAAACTTTCATTCCAAATTTCTATATAGTTATCTAATATAGAAGTACTTTTTCTTATAAGCAGTTTTAACAAATCCAACCAATATCAATAGTAAATATTTATATAATAAAGCTCACAACTCAGTCTATAGCTATTAATCAAACATCACATTTTAAGAAGCATACATATCAATACAAATATCAAAAACCTAAGAAAATTAATGTATTTAAAAACAAAAAGTTGTCGTGTGTTGCCACACTAGAATAATTTATTTTTTTATACTATTATGACATGTCTATTGATCAGAAATCGTACCCAAAAGGTACTTGAAAATGGAAAAAGTTTACCTAGAAAATAGGGTTTAGATCCCATTGGCCAACACTCCTATGTCTAGCATACGGAAAATATATGACGTATTTAAAAATCTTAAAGCTTTCTGCACTTAAGGTAGGTTAGTGAATGATGATCAACAAATTACGAAAAAGATATTTATTAGATAACATTATAATATCTCAAAAATATTATTTACAAAAAAGTCCCGGACAAAGATCCGGGCATAATTCAGATTTTTACTCTCCAACTAAAAAAACTACAATAACTTGTTTTTCCGAATCGAACAATTATTTTACATACCTACATTAAAAAAAATGTATCTTATAAAAAAAAAACATTCATTGGCTGTTGTTAAATCATATTTGTTCCGATAACCCTGCATCAGTCATGTGGTTTAATATCACATCAGTATTCGCGCGTCTACATAATATGTAGAACAATTACAATTTTGCTAATTAAAATGTATTATTGCAACATAAATTAATGATTTGACCACATTATTTAATTCTCATATTGATTGTAAATTTTGTAACATATTTGTACAATATTAATTAATTTAATACATATAAAAAGGAACAATTAAAAGGAGAATAAATAAAAAAATATTATTAAAATATATATTTATATGTATATATAGTATATACATATATATCTGTGGCTTGGAGCAAAAAGGGCCATTGTCACTTTTTGCAACTTTCGGAAAATGAGCTTTGAAGTTTTTATTTTCCATTAGGCTCTATGTTAATTTTTTTATCAAACTCTTCATGAGTAATTCATTTTTTGGCCTCAGAGTGTAATTTTTTCACAGCATATAAAAAATGATTCAATTTTTGCAATTAGCGGACTAACTCGTTTATGCACAAAATTGACGTTGGCCCTTCTTGCTCCAAGTTACAGATATTATGTATGCGTATCTATATAATATAATGGATAACATCAATATATAAAATTAAAAATATACCCATAAACGTACAATGTATAAAAATTATGCACCGTCGCGTAATCTACAATAGTAGAACATAAAACTTTATCGCTCAATATACAGAATTACACTAAAAAATAAAGTCCGATAACAGATATCAACTATACAATGTCGTTTAAAGGTAACATAATTATCATTGTGCTGAAGAAAACCTAAAAATATTTAAAATGATATTTATTATCGGTGTAATACAATTTATAGTAGAACGCGCAACTGACGCAAGGCTAGTATTCCAAAGATAATAATGACTGGGTCAAACAAATTTGTATTGAATTTTTACATACTAAAAAATGTGTTTACATTTTTTGTTATCTTTGTTTTATTTTTATTCATAATGTAATATCTACATTCTGAAATTCTCTAATTTAATCAAAATATTTCTTCAGCGCATAAGCAAAAGAAATATTAAGTAAAAAAACATCAAGTTTTCAGAAAAAAACCCTAAATGCTTAAAAATGTATCGCAGAACCATTTTCGGGCAAATTTCACCAAACTCGTTCTGATCGAGCACTGAATATTTTTAATAATAAATATAATGATGTACTTAAAAATAACATTTAATAAATTAATTAATTATAATTGTTTTTTTTTAACAGAAGACGATCCATTTTTCATTGACACGTTGACATCGTGTAGTCACGCGCTAACGGTGTGCGAATCATCAGCAGATTGTTTTAAAACGTACGAGGACTTTAAGAGAAACTGCAAAGTCGGCAAAGATAACACTTGCGAGGCACCAAATCCGTAAGTACACGATGATCTCTTTTCAAAACATTTCTACCCTTACTCCAGATTATTGTTTTCAGTCTTGTATCATATAGATAAGCAGTAATGGGAAAAAAAAAAGAACGGTATTATAACTTGCATATAAAATTAAAGATCGTGTCTTAAATCATCTAGATAAAAAAACAAGTTCTACCTCAAACTTTCTATACTTATAAATGTATTATGACTGTATCTTATTAATTACAATAAGTTTTAAAATTGCGTAAAACATGCACAAACCCTTAGGTTACACTTCGGGTGTAAACTAAAGAAAGCCAAAATTAAGTAAATAGGTATTCGAAATAAACGTTTAAATTGATGTGTTTGATTTTGTCAAACTAAATGAACCTACAATTTAATACATAATAAATATCGTAAGATATTCCAAAATATAAATTCTTTATGTTTAAAAGACTAATAAGAATATTAATAATCATTCTTCATATTTTTGTCACATAAAATGAAATATTTATGTAAAACATAATACATTAGTTTTAATAACAATTCATAAAAAAAAATATACTAATAAAAAAAAATTAAAAATGTTGATGGATGGCCAGTAGAATTAACGCAGTAAGCTGTTCAAATTTGTCTAACAATAGGTCAAGTTTCTAAAGCAATAAAAATACAAAGTGAAAACATAGTAGCCTCTGATTATTTTTATTTAAACATATTATTCTACTTAGGTAGTTTCTTCGCTATAATTTCAATAACTCCAATATCAAAATAGATAATTCAAATCATTAGTTTAGGAAATATAGGGAATTTTTTTTGTAAGAAAAATATAAAAGCCGACCTACGTTGAAGTAAACCCTTCGGGATCATTATCTTTTGTCTTAGGCTCGTACGAACATCATTATTACCTAACGGCATTATTATTATTTTACATAGGTACCACAACCGGAGTATAGGCAGGAACCGTGTAATTAGTCGGGCACGTATTCCGGCCGACGGCGTTAATCAATGAAACCTTAGCACCTTATAATAATTGCAAGCGAGAGCGCTGACAAATTCATTATTCCAAGTTAAGAAAACCCAGAGAAACCCCGCCAACCATACACCGCCATAGCTACAATATTAAACACTATTAATAGATCTATTAGTCTATTAATAATTATGGAAAATAAACTACGGCTTGTACGTCCAATTTGACATTAGTCATCAGCGATATTCGATAGAGACATTCAACTGGAAACGTCTTGGCCTAGGCTGTGACATTTACATAATATGGGTTGGATATCGGTGGCAGGAACTTAATCCGTAAATAGTCTATTCTGTTTCTCTACCATGTATTAGATATTGGTTCAGTTTACTTATAATAATTTAGCCAGCAATAGTGCAATCAGCGTGAAGGTGTAGGATGCCTTTTATTCATCTAGTAAATGCCGGTAAACTGACGGGAAGATTACAAGAACTTCCCACTGCCTTCTCAACAAGCTCTTTGTACCGAGTACTACTTAGATCTAGTACAATACACTACTGAGAGGGCTAGTTAATTAAATTTTCACTTTTATATCTATATGCCCAAAAACATTTCAATGTATTTTCTGACTTCTTGGCTTAACAATTTCCACGCTCTATCAAACCTATTCACTTTGCATGTCTATTAGGACAAATTCTCAATTAGGACATCTGTTTTCCTTTTGTCTCTTTTATCAATATAAGTTTTATACAAAAATTGACTTTCACTCTACCCAAGTAGCATTTTTCTGTCAAAAAAACACACCCGTATTTTAGTTTCTTTTGAACTATTACTTACTTGAACTGCTATGACTTAGCTCTGTTTCTCTAATGTTAATGGTACCGCTCACAGCGAATACGGTTTAACTACTGTTAACTGACTAAAAAAACAATTTACCGAAAATACGTTTTAAAATTAATCAATTTTAATTGCTTTTACAACGATTTCGGCATCGCAATTTCGCATTGTTTTTGTATTATTAAATGTAGGTACGCCGAGTACAAAGCATAATATAAGCATTTAAGGAAACAATAAAAAAATGTACCTCTATTATCCACAGCACTCGACTTTTTGCGAAAACAGGAAAAAATATAAATAATGGGTTTCTATTATATTTCATCACAGACGTGGCACGCTTGGTTTGGCTTCAAAGCGGATTAATAGAAAACAAAAAGCAACTTTATAAATAACCTACAGCGCAGTCGATGTAGCTACAAAATATGATTGAAACACTATAATAGGTACTATATGTCCTAGATTTGCAGATTTCCAAAAAAAAGTAGTTTGTTATATAATATTTGCAATAAGAAAACAAAAAAACGAATGCATGGCGTTTGTTTTCGGTTCGGCGTGACAAAATACATAATATTATTACCTACTAGGTTAGGTATACGTTTATTGTATTTTGTATTTTATCAGATTGTAGACGGGAGAAAGAAAAAAATACACAAAAAATGTAAAACAAAACTCTAAACGTTATATAATAACGAACGGCAGTAGTCGTCGTCCGAGTTAAGGGATGGAAGAGGAGAGGAAGTCAACGTAGGGGGAGCGCGGGGTAGCAGGGGTCGGCGGCTAAAGCTATTAGTACCCGTCGGCGGGTGTGTGCAGATCCGCGAATAAAAAGAAAACAACCTCGAACGGTAATCGGTAACAAAATACAAAAAATAGGCACAAAAAACAAGAGCGGGAAAAAAACCCAAATGAAGTTCACGTCAAACGCCGTCGGTGTCGGCTGCGTTTTTTATTTTTATTTTTCCACCCAGTGCGCGGTGGATTCACCCTTTGCGCTTATCCACAATACAAATTGCCCATGCCACGCCGGCCGGGTTAGGCCTTGGGCCGCGGCGCTGTCTGTTTGTCTACATTGTATCTATGCCGTCTCCCAGTCAGTCACGGCTGGCACAACATGCAAAAGAACACTGCACGCGAATTACCGAAACACAAATCCCCGTCCCACAACAGTACCGTGAATAATATATCAACATTGCCTTACAGGGGGTTGTACAGGGTTGTCCCAAAGGAGACATTCAGATTTCCATTTACCAACAATTTCTACGGAATATACATAAAAAAAAAAATATATATATATATATTAATATTAGGTTTTTCTCTCGAAAAACAATAAAAGACGATGCGCTCATAAATAACAATTATTATTTCTATTACAACCTATTAGTGTATACATGACAGGTAGTCGCGCGGGTAAAAATATTTAAACATTTCGAAAATTATTGTATTTGAAAGTTAATTCGCAATTACATAAGGTATTTCAAACATTATGCGTTTGCGTAAAACGTAAGACGGCGATTTCAAAGAAACTCTTTTGTAATTTTTAGAGTTTGAGGACAAACAAACGTTTGTTTAAAAAAATAAAATATAATTAAAAAAATAACACTTTTACTGCAATTGCAATAGTAGTAAATTCGTTTATACATAATATGTATAGTTATAATTCTTATTTCATATGGAGGTGTAAAGGTAGGGGGATATCGTATTTTGTAAAAACAATTTTTAAGACGTTAAAATCACTCAGAAAATTGTTCGAGCCAATGATCATACTATATTTTAAAACAAATCTTATTTCTGTATGATAACATATATTTACCAAAAGGTACCAAATAACGAACTTATATAGAATGTTTTGTTAATATTTGTTTTTTATATTTACATAAAAATATGCAATTACTTTGAAAACGTGTTTGTATTTGTGTTGAAATATTTGTTTTTTTTTTAAGATTTTACAACTATTTACAATTCGAAATTTTGATGTCTTATGTATTTTACCTAACTACAACTAATTAAAAAATTTTTTTTTACAATACTAGTGGAATTTTAAATAGAAGATAAGATTATGGTTGTGTTTTTTTTAATGTTAAGTAAATATGATGTGTTTGAACAATGACAACAAATGCAAAAGATAAAAACTTCTATGAAGCACTCCAAATACAATCATTTTAATATGAATAAAGTTTTGTTGTTGACTTTATTGAAATATACAGTTTATTCGCTATCAACATTTTTGAACCTTTAAGTTCTTGTTTTCGACGCAAAGTTAAAAGTTTATTGGTATCAATTATTTTAGGAAACTTTCCTACAAACCACTGTCCTCTATGCTATAATTCCACTACAACAAAGTTCTGACACCATAATAATTTTTGGTTTGTATTTAAATATTTGATATTTTGGAAGTCAAATATAAGCGCTTAAATATTAATTTAAAAACGGTTTGACATTTATTCGTTTGGTTGAACATAGCAATTTAAAAGAAATTAACCTACTGAAAACAATGACTGATCATTATCTAATTTTGTGTATAAGCGTCTATGTTGAAGACATAGGAAAAGTTTCAATACAATTATTATTGTACATACATTTTTTTTGTTTTGTACTCATTCACCAGTGCAACTGCTCTCGTCCAAGCACTGAAATGCATGCAACTTGTTAAGTGGTTATTTGAAAACTTTCATGAAGTAGTTACGGCGACGGTTTGAAGACAGAGTGAACTGAAGAAAATAATTATGGTGACCGACCTCTTTTGTGTGGAATAAGGAAAACGCAAAAAAAAAGTTATAATCCTTTGACGTTGAACGAATAAGGAGTCCTTTTTTTATGAAGCTATGGAAAGTTACAGATTAAAACTCAAACTTCTTAAGCAAATTATTTTGTGTATTAAAAATACTGTTTTGTATTTTAGAAACATTTTAACGATATCAACAAACTTTGGACGATTTTGTGAGAAATACTTTGTTATTTAATTAACTGTGAAAAACGCATTGTTTAATCCGTCCAGTACAACTTGAGTCCGGTTGGCCATGTAAACGTAAAGGATGAGCCTACAGATACATATACTAGATGGGTTATCGGTCCTTGGTCTGTGGCCCTTAGTACTGTGTTATTTAGCATTATCTGTGGGTTTGGCGGCATAGCGCATTCCTTCCATTCAAAGTGTAGGTAAAAATAATAGCTACTATGTCACAACATAGATTAAGTTGCCTATATATTTTTGTAAGGTGTTTAAGCATTTCTGGTTCTTGGACACTTGTGTTATGCGATTCAGCTAAATTTGCATACCATAAATACCAATCATTAAAACTTTTTTTTTTTTTAAATCGGATCCCCTAAAGAATACAGGGTGATCCAACTAACGTAAGACACTCATTTTCTCTGAAAATATGAATATTTTTAGATTTTTTTTTGCCTAAACTTTTAGTTACATATTTCACTACATTTTTCAATATTTTGAAAATTGTTTTCACTAATCCAGGGGGATTTGTGGTTTTTTTAAATGACAACATATGTTTTTAATTAAATAAATTTGCAGTCAAAACATTCAAAAATATGTTAGCGTTTGAATTTTTTATTTTCATTCGTCTGTTCATGCTATGACTTTGTATAAATACTACATTTCCTTTGTAGTAACGATTAAAAATATGAAGAAATACCTACAGTAAAAAAATATCAAATCTTTATAAAGTAATAACAAATGAACAAATAAATGAAAATTTAAAATTCAAACGTTATCATATTTTTTAGTTTGTTGTCTACAAATTTATGTAATTAAAAACACATGTTGTCATTTAAAAAAACCAAAAATCCCCCTTTTTGGCTTATAAGGATTGGTAATAAAAATTTTCAAATTATTCAAAAATGGAGTAAAATATGTATCTAAAAGTATAAGAAAAAAAAAATTCTCAAAATATTCATATTTTCAGAAAAAATGAGTGTCTTACGTTAGTTTGATCACCTTTAATATTTCCTTTATTTTCAACACTCAGAAACATTTAACCGAAACATTTCAAATATTTATGGGGCTCAGGAAAAAACTCAAATATCCAAATCCTTCAGTCATTTTTAATCAATATCTCTTCGCCTCATTACTTTTGCCCCATGGTATGTCAGCAACCAAACTCTTCACAACGATCTAAAAATTCCAACAATACCTGCTCTAGCTGCCCAACTCTATAAAAACTTCCACAACAACACTTTCAATCACCATAATCCACTAATATCTAATTTACCATCCCTCACTCTTCCTGAAAACCCACCACGTCGCCTTAAGAGTAAATGGCCTAGAGATATTCTTACCTGAAGTAGTGTCACTGGACGCCCCCTTCACTCAAGCCAAAAAAATTAGCCATTTTACTAATTATACATATTAATACAGATTGATATTTTAATTATTTACTTTCTGTTTATTACGAGACGTATAACAGACGTCAACGTAAATGTCTTTCATCAACAGATGTTGATGAAAGACATTTACTGTTTGCATTGCACATAATTATGATACCGTTGGGTTGTGTGTTTTCGGATTTGCCGGACTTAAAAAAATAAAATATTATGTTATAATGTCGTGTGAGCGAATGGCCGATCGATCATAATTACCAAAAACCTCAAAGTTGTCTGGCGGGGGGAGGGGGGGTCGCCCAAACGATAATGTATCGTTGTCAAGAAAAATAGTTTACCAAACATTTTTGTTTTGTCCGAACTCCGAAGCCCGACGATTTTGGACGTCAATTCCAATTACTGAAATATCATATTAGAAACTCCAGTCGGTTAATTAACGAGCAGCGCTAATTCAGGTCGGTTCGACTGTCATCACTTTTGCTATTTCAGTTGTTTATCGCAGCCGCGGCCGATCTTGATTATAGAAATCCCAAAAGTAAATTTAGCTTTAGAAAGTTTCAAAGTTTATACACTCAGCGCTGTCATAATAACAATATTATGCCGTCGCTGCGATTTTAGATATTCCACGATATTATCTAATATTTAGATGGCACTCTTTGGCACTAATACTCCGCCATAGAATTTTTTTAAATTTATTTCACCGCTACGACTTTCTACTTATTCATATCGCCTATGCTTGCTGTTATTGTGTTCTACGATAGAACATTTCAGGAATACTGTCTCGCTAAGCGTGTGCAATTCTCTGAAATAGGCAATACTACCGGGTTGCAGAGGCACACTATTATTTTATTGTACTCTGTGCTGTAGAGAGCTATATACATATATGAAACCACATAAATAATGTACCCGTTGTGATGTGAACTAGAAGCCCAGTTCGGATAGTTTGTTTTGGTCGTGGTACTGTGTATTGATTTTGAGAATTATTTAGTTTACTATTTCCACCAAACGGCTACTACCCTGTAAAATATTATGTTCTCTATACTAGCTAGTAGGTATCCCGTGAGACGACAGCCAAGGGATGCGGTGGTCATACAAGGTTAGCACCGTATTTATGTCCCTTCAGGCATCCCCGTTAGGGTCGGCGTTACCCGTCCACCGACATTGCCTATAAACTATTCTAATTATTACAAGGGAAGATTGATCCCGGCACACTGATCGATCTGCTCTATCGATCGGATAGAGTTAGCTTCATAGATTTCTTGCGACCAAAATGTTTGAATTGTCAGCGAAATGCCTCAACGAATAAAATCATGTTGTATTCTAACACTTTTCAATGACTGTGGATTATTTATTACTTGCCAAATAAATTGGACTTAACACTGACGCCAATGCGTGTCTATTAATGTTATTATACATAATATTATGATACATGATTTATGAAGCAATCATAATGTCGGTTGCTCTACACACACACACAGTGTAAGCGCACACGCCAAGACGTACTCAGATGAGAAAAACGGTGTGCGAGTGAAACGTTAAGCCGTTTTCGAGGAGAAGAAATAAACGACAGTCATTATGCGTCTCAAAGAGAAGTTATCGTACGGTTGCGAATAATTTATTACTTATGGCCTGTAGGCTCTGGCGGTGTGTGGTGGGAAAAAAGGGCTGGAAAAAAGCATCGGTTATGAATTATTTACACCGGTACAAGCCACGTGGAACATGTGCTTTTTATCGAATTAATTCCAATATACATTGTATGCAGCGCCTATCTCTGACACAGTGTATGCGTGTTCGACGGTTTTGACTTAATGTTAATATAATCGCACTCTGCTCCACTCTGGTGTACGTCACGGCAGGTATAAGGTCGGGGAGTGAAGCTGATGAAAAATTCATAGGAATCCCAATGAAAGAACAACTTTAGGGCGGCCGAAGGGGTGCCGCAAGCGAGTGTATCGTCAAATGTAAATTTGAAAACATAAAACTTCAAGTCCCACTACGTCAGGTTGTGTGTACATGCTCAATATATGTATATTGTCGGCCACTTGATTTAAAAAAAAAAAAAATATATATATATATATATATATATATACTAATAATATACCATAATAAAATGGTAGTACATTCTTGCATTGGAAAGCCTTCGAAATAGTTAAAACCGCGTCTAACGGTTTTTGTTTATTCTTATTATTACTATTTATATTTCACTATACTATACTATTACTATTTGTTTTTTAGAGAGGACTGTCACAAAGCTTGGATTAACCTGAGAAAAACTCCGATCTTCGGATGTATTTGTCCGCAGAATCAGATGAAGAAACGTTGTGACCGGATTTTCTCGCTGGTCAACGATAACCCGTGCATAAGTAAGATTTGTTTCAGTTCAGCTTTTTTTTCCCACCAAGGTTTAAGCCTTTTAAAACAAAACAAACACTGACCTCTTCCGCGTTATATCCGTTGTTTGTACTCCAAGTTTCGCCGCTTTTATGCAGTCCTTACACTATATTCCCACAACACCACATTTTAACGGTCTCTATCCTCAATACAGTTTGTAGCATTTCACACATTCTCAGTGATTCTGTCGCATCAATTTTTCTTCCCTTATTGTTATCTGCGTACACAAATTATGGGCCTATTGTACCGCGTCCTATTGTATTTCCTTACAGGGCAAGGTACCATGTCTAGCATGGCGTTAATTTAAAAAAAATATGCTGTACCGAGGTGTTAATAATTATTACTGATACACCTTCCATTTACGGGTATTACTGTTTTAACGATCGGCACAAACAGCCGTTATGTCTCAAACCTTAAATAAATTGCTTGTAAATAACACACAACAACGCACGTGATGAAAATTTAAGTTGCTACCAAGATTAAAACTTTGACACCGCTTTTCTATGTCCTTCGTAGTAATAAATAACAAAATTAACGGTTATGGCTTCAATAATTAACTCTTTTCCGGGTTGTTCCGTGCCGTTTAATTTTTGATTGGAAATTTTATCCAAGATTTATGACTTACGAGTGACTAAAGTTTTACTTGTTCACAACTTTTCGTTCGCCGAGAAAGTGGTCGAACAAATTTTAAGGTTGACAGGTAAAAAAAGTGTTATAATCATTCCAAACAAATAAAACTTTTTATTAATGCGTGACATCATTGTCACTTTTATATAACTTTAGTTTGAATGATCATTTCCATTATTTTTCTAAAAATAACGAATCACATAAGTTAAAGTTTGAAAGTAGTGTGTATAAACATTTTATGCTTCAGCGAATTAGTGTGATGGCCTATTGTATTGCTTACTTATTACATAGTAAACCATTAAGACGTTAAACTTTCTTATTGTGAAACATTAACGTTAAGTGGACGCTACCCATCCGTAATTTGTAGTGTGAAGGCTGAGTTAGTACTAGGTTTCCCGAATGTTCATAGAAAAAGAGAGGAGAATATTATCTATACTAAAACGTGGTAGTTTTTTTACAAATAAATTGATTTTCTATGTCAATTTTTTAAAGTTTAGAATTTTTTTTTGTATTTTTAAATAAGCTTATAAAAATTTGTGGGTTGAGTATTTAAAAATGATAACGGACTGAGACATTTTTATTGTGTACTTACCCTAGTATTAAGAGGAAGATTATGCAGAAAAACAATAGTATACCAATTCAATAGTATTCGATTTTATAGGTATATTGTTTTGAAGCAATCAAAATTCTTGTCGTTAAAAATTGCCAGTGGTTAATTTTTTTAGGCATTCGTAACTGGAGTCTTCTTTGTAGTTGCTTTTTATCCTATTATGGAAATTCGTCATGTTTGTCCACTTCACGCTAAATGTTTGTACTTGAACCGTATTCAACTTAAACATAATATCGAATTACTTGTTAAAATAATATCTGCATTATAATTGAAAACAAACAACGCCGCTAGCAGACCACAGTTCCGAAACTTCTGCGTACTTACTTGACTTTTTTTTTGCGAGGGAAATGTAAATATTTAATAGTTATTTGTGTTTTGTCCAAATCGCTTTTATTAATTACCAACTATAGATCAATAGAAATTAAAGTACTATTTATTTATTCTGTATAATTCGAAGGGATGAAATTTAATTATTCTGGCTTTAAATATTAAACAGTATTATTATTCAATGAATTGATGATTAAAATTATATAGAAATTTGATTAGAGTGATATGACCAATACGCGACTTTAGTTTCTATTAACATCACTAAGTTTTATGGCTGGAAGTCAGTTTGCAAATTTGCATAACTTTTTCCACTAAGACCAACATTTTTGTCTATCGGGTATAATATTATCATATTAATTAATTAATCAGTTAAGATTAGGAGCGGGTGAATGTTTCATCATGTTCATGATTTATATTATGTTTATCCTTGTAGAGTAGGAAATACAAATTTTTTTTTTATTCACAGCTAAAATGATTTAGTCAATATATTATAAATAACCATGTTTTTACTTGATGCAGACGTTTTTTCGTGAGCTGTTGAGCGACCTTTTTTTTATAGTTAAAGCAATAGCCGATATGTTAATTTATTGTTATCGTCAAAAGAATAATATTTGCCGGTTACTATACTCGAAAAAATATATTAAAATACAAAAAAACACAACCATTCTTCTGATGAATGTAATAGCGCCCGTAAAGTGCAGTAAAGTACAGGTCTACGTAGGTGAGATAAGAAGTATTTAGTGTGGCTCCCACTATAGTCGCTTGTAGATTCCTAACCGTGTATACTTTTAGATAAGACACACAATACTCCGTCGAAAGATTTATCACCCGAAAACAGTACCTTATACTTTTACAAAGGTTATAATATAAATCTTTCTATCGATTTTGACTCGGAGCTATTAAGGTTCATTACTCACCAATGTTGGTATTCAAAATGAAACGACCATTAAAATTGCAATTAAACAATGTTTATTTATAGGATTGTTAATCTTGTAATCATAATATATTTAGATATATAATGGTTATAGTTTGTATTCATGGTTGGTTAAAAATGTTAACCAGCAAAGCTTAATCAGCATTGTTTAGCAATTTTTACCGCATTTTTTTTAAATTCTTATAAAATAATTAATAATATTTTTTAATAGTTTCATAATGGTATACATTTATGTCTCTGTGATCTAAAAAAATTTATAATATTTAAGAGTAGATATTAGACATTAATTTAAATTTGTACTCAAATAAAAAATGGAAATTTATAGGCTTATCCTAATATTGATTTTTTCGTCATGTTTTAATAATGGCATAGTATATCAAGTTTTTATTGAAATACAGTATAATCCATTTAACGCGAGACACTCATTTCCTCGGAAAATAATTACAATTTTGTAATTTTTCTTTATTAAAACATTTTTGTTATTCTTATATGATAAAATTACTAAATATTTACATTTTTCAGAGCACTATCGACTTTTAAAACTTTAATGGCAACGTATTAGCTGTTGGTCTGTAAATAAGTTTTGGTAATTATTTCCAAAACGGGTTCAGGCTTTTAGTTTTTAAACTTCTTTAGTTCAGCTCTTGTACTCGGTTAGTAACCGGCTAAATGACCACTGGAACTATACCAAACTACGTAAAGATTATTTGCCGGATAAAAAAACCCAAGAAGTAAAAACTTTGTCAAATTGTTTATTTATGCAAGTACTCTGCGGATTAGGAGCCGGCAGAAGACATCACGATTCGTGGTGTAATTTTAAGTTCTTAAGGAGAGCAACAATTGTCTGGGAACGAACGTTTTGGGAACAGGGGACTAACAAAACAGATTTCCGTCCTGTAGTATGAATAATAATTAGGTTTTATTTTCATTTTTTGATATTTGTTTTTTTGTAAGCTTATCCGCTGGCGGAAACCCTTAATTGGTGAACAGTATAATGAATGTTGACAAATCGTGCAACAGTCGTGTACACAAAACCATCATTGTTACCCCTTATTTCCTTTAAATATATTTTAAGTGTTTTAGTTTTATACATCTCTAGACGTTAATCGTTTTGACATTTAAACCTTTGTTGTTTGAACTTCAAACATTTTTTGTTTTGTTTTAATTAACTTATTATACCTATTTAAAAAAAAAACAACAGTAGCAAGCTGTACAATTTTGACTACCAAATATATTTGTATGTTTAAACAATGGTGATTTTCAAATAAAACTAATGTTTCCAATCCTGTTTGCTTGACGGTGATTGTGTACACTCGATCCTTGGTGTGTCTACTACTATGTGAGCCGAAAATATCAACTTAACATTGGTAATAAGGTAGTAATAACAATGGCTCAGAGTTGTTTTGCTGCAAACCAACCACTGCTCGGTCAAAACAATCCAATTAAGTGCCACCGGCTGTGTGTGCAATTATAGTTAGGAAAGAGCAAACTCATCAGGTCAGACTAGGTACCAGGTGGTTCGGCCGATTAAAAGAACGTTTGCAAACCGAATAAAAATTAAACATCAAATAAATAGCCATGTTGTTATTACAGCAATATTTAAAAAATGGGGGTGTTAAAACTATATTAGCAACCATAAATGGCAAAGGACGGAATAGTACATAATATATTATTAGACGGGCCAAACCAGGTAGTGAATTACCTATTTTACTTCTATATTGACATTATGTGATTTTTTAAAAGCATCACAATTTGATTGAAAATGGTATTTTAATTTCAGTTAAGAGCAACATAAATTCCCCCCTCTATGAGTAAAAATCAAAAACAATAAAGCCGTAGTTCCAAAATCAATAGTAGTACAATTTTTTTATTTTTTTTATTTAAAATTGAAGACAAAAAACCAAGTTTATTTCTTGAATCCTAGAATAGATTTTTTAAGCTATTTTGAGATAATTACTTTTCAAGCAATGATTGGGAGATTCGGTTTATTCAAACGCAAAAAACTGCACAATAAGATTAAACATAATGAATATTATTGACCACCCTGAAAAGTGTCTGGTTGCTGCACTGGGTGAAAAAATGTTCAACCATTGTTTTGGTATAAAGTAAAAAACTTGAAATTTTATTTTAAATTATAAATACTTTTTATTTGTCTTAGAATAGGTACTTTCTAACAAGTAATTTTGTATTGCTAAAAATGGGTTAATCTGAATTTGTGTTTTAGTTTCAGTTATTATTATTTTTTTTTTTAATTAAAATTTTAAGACTTGATTTTTGAATTAAAAACAGAGGGTTCTACATAAACAAAAACTTAGGCGTTAGGTAACAGGTTTCACTTTTGTTAGGTTAAGCAATGTGCGTTATGTCGACTTGTGATTGCCGTGTGATTTCGAAAAGGCATATCTAAACTGTCCCCTTCTTTCCATAGATTAATCAATATTATGTTACTACATGCACAGTCCTCGGTAAATAATAGATTTATGGTTTACACTGGGACTTGTGTTGAGGAAAACGTTGATAATTTCCAAATAGGTATAAACAGTTGGTGGAAAATCGAACTACAAGGTTTGACAGATGTTGGAGCAAATGGCGTATAGCTTATATATTGTGTTTTGAACGATTCGGTGGCGTAAATTATCATTTTAAGACCGACTAGGCTGGCAGCTTTATAGGTGGGTTCGATCGCTGCTGTTATGTTGTTATGTTATTCTATTGGCGTACACGCGGTTCGTTTCGAAACTGCGGTCGGTTGATCCGGCGAAAAGTAGGCTCGAAAGCTTCATATATAACTTGGCGAGACCTTAATTCAATAAACCGGGGCGAAAGTTAATGGCACAACATAAACGTTTAATCGGCCTCGCCGAGTTCATTAAAAGTTGAAGATCACCGGAATAAATCATTCTGTTCAAACAGACGGAGGAAGTTTTCGATAATATTTTCGATAAAACTTATACACAAACACCTTTTAATATACTTTTGGTTTAAATCAAAAGTTGCTGGAAAGTTTAAACGCAATAATAATAATTACAAAACCTTTGATAAAATGCGACTACACGAAAGTCCGAGTGGCGGAGTGGCGCACACAATAAACTGACATAATTTACAGCATTTCCCATAAACAATAACAACGTGATTGTCTTCTTAAGAATATTATGGATAAACAGAAAAATATGCATGCAGCGAGTAGTTACACCTACAACGGGAAAGAGCGTGTCGCACTATTATTTCTCCACGATTTCTCGTCCATATAAGCGAATTATTGTGATATTATATTTACAGATTCCGGTATAGCCTATTTGGAGTATGTTCTACTAATTCCCTGAAGTACACGTTCCGAAAAAATATAAAAATTTCTGAGAAAAGAAAATTGCATTCACTAGCATTCTACTCTGATAAATATTTTTCGTTACCAGACTAAATAATTCAAAAAACAAATAGAACTTATTCGCTTCGAAATAAATACCTCAAAATATATTACATTTTCTTCAGGACGAATATTATCAATTCACTCCGGCTTCGTTTGGTTATAAGCGTTTGCCAGCTCACATAAGTTACCCTTCTATTGGACAAGTTACACTGCCACTGACTAACCTAGTCAACCCGTGTTCAACACATATATCAGTTGGCTAAGCGGTTTCGATCTACTAAAAACGGCCAGTGCTAAAAAAACCGTCGAAAAAAAAATATATATATATAATATATTTTTTTAAATATTTGTTCAGAGCCTTACCGACGTCCGATGCGATAAACCATAAATATTAAAATGTAAACGTAAAGGGTGGACGCGGGTATGCGCTAAAAACTGAAGCGGTTAAAAAGAAATAGGAATATTTTAAAAATCTGATTTAGTCGATAGCATATCCCTAAGGTCTATGTCCACACTTTACCCTCGTCTGGTTCACACTAAGGATTCTATTATAACAGTAAACAAACGCCAGCGTGGATCTAATTATTAAAAAAAAAAAAAAATATATATACACTTTCCTATTGTAGCTTGATTATGCGTGTATCTGTCAGTTGTACCGGCTTATGAGGTACGTTTTATTAGCTATTTTGGTTTTACAGGATAAATGTATGGCGGTGTATTTTTTTTTTTTTTTTGTAACCGATATCGTTAAATTAGTACTTACAGTAATTATTAATGATCGTTCAATGCGAAAAAGGGAAATATTAATACGAAAATTGAGCAGCTGTACTTAAATTGATCCATTGTCCATTGACTTCAGTTATAAAAACTACCGCCGGATTAAAATTTGTTTACTTTTATTCCATTATAAGCAGTAAGAAATTTAAAACTTATACGACGAAAATATTCAATTTAACTAATTTTGTGTACATAAAACTACCATATGTATACAGCAAAAATAATAAAACATTTGACAATATTTTTGAACACTTGCAACAACACTTACAAGCATTTTGTTAATAATAATAATTTCTAACCACTTAACTCCCTGTCGAGTATAGTTAAAATATTTAAAGCTTAAGTTTCATATACATCATAGTTGGCTTCTCGTGAAGTTTTGGCTGAAATTTGTCTAATATAAAATTATATAATCTTTTGAAAATATTGGTTTCTTTTTCTCTTTCACTTCTAAGCGAATATAAAATGTTCTTAACATAACTTTCAACATCTTGATTGTATCCGCTTATTATGACAGTTTTATCTTGAGACATTCGACCCTAAAAAATAATATAAGTTGTACTATAATATTATTACAGATTTAGTTCACAAAAACTGGCGAACACTTCAATTTGTGTTCAGCTAAAATGTATTACAAACACTGATAATACTTTGTATTATAATTATTATTTATTATAAGTTCTTATTACATAATAATAATATTAAATAAAGAGTGTTAATTATAATCAATGTTATAATCACAAATAGAACAATTCGCTATATTGTAATACATCTGTAAGACATTAAGTTTGTTTATGCTTAATATTATCGTTCAAACTTTAATACAAGTTCTTACCAATAAGCAGTTGGAGGTTCCAAGATCTTTCTAAAATATAAATAGATAACTATAAAAATAAAACTGAAACATTATAAAATATACATACTTGTATTACTGCTATATCGTTTATGCTGACTCCCAATATGTATGATAGATAGTTTTTCAGTGGAGAGTTCAATCTTGCAAATACAGAGGAATCAAAGCTCCGAGATATATCAGTAACTCTTACTCTCAGTTTAATATATTTACCGTTCACATCTAAAAATCATTAAATAAACGTTAGTAGTCTATAAAATGCCATTTGTGGGCATCAAAGGAAACCGCCACCAATTAAAAACCATTTACACTATCGTATGTATGTATATAAAGATGGTAGGACACCTGTGGTGGATGTTGTTATCAATTATTACATGTCTAACAACAACCACCCCTAAGTGAAGACAATTTGTTTTTCTGTGTATTAAGTGAAGGTACCGATAATTAAACTTTTTCATAATCTTTCCGATACACCAATACAATTAGCTTGCAACGTGTCATAATTGGCGACAAGTAATTTTGAAAGCGTTTGTTTGACATATGATGTAGAATGATATGAATCCATACATAAAACTAAGAAGCTAATAGGTAAAAAAAAAGTGTATATTAATATTAATAAATATTTTGTTTTTTGAAGTGTTATCCGAAAAAAGCTGTATCGCAATCTTTTGTACTATTGTCAAAACGCTGATCGGGGACTGAACTGCAGACAATTTAAAGTTTAATTTTTTGTTTCAATGGTAATTTTGAAATTGGTAGACATAATCAAAACTGACTGTGCTAATTATAAGGTATACTTAAATATAATAACTATTAAATAGTACTAAAAATGTAATTTTTTTATTGGGTACATAATTACAATAGAAATAATAAGATAGAATAGGCCTCGGGTAGCTCTACTTCACTACATAAACTTTTTAATTTGGTACTGGAATAGTGTGTACAAGCTTGACTTGTATTTTTAAAATCATATTAATAACAAAATAATTGTTAAATAATGTAATTTCATAAATACTAATATTTTTGTTATAAAACAATACATTCTAAACGTTCTCTGAAACGCGTTATCCGACAATTTTTTTTTGAATACAGTATACTTTGCTTCATTGGACAAATCAGTCGCCAGAGTGATCTTTATATCTATTACGCGAAAACGTGACGTATATTTTACACAAAAATCAATATGTTTTTCTGTTTTAGTACAAAGTTTTATAAAAAAAAACAACTAAAAACACTATTATAAGGTAAACATTTGATTCTAGTTTTAACACAGATGTGGCCTTATACACATTGTTTATTTGGTTTCAGTTTAGTACATTTATGTGTAGAAAATATGTGTTATTCAATTATTGTACAATTATAACAATGACTAAATCTAGCTGCAGCTGAAAAGTCGTGCTGATTCTGTTGCGCAAGTACAAAATAATAAGTTTTAAAATATTATTAAGTAGTGTTTAAAAATGAAATACATTATTATTTGGATGACGATAATACTGCTAAACTTTGCTAATTGTAAGTACAATAAAGATGAGCTACTAAATTGGTATTCTAAGGTAAAAATAGAGTACGAAAAAGCATATAGCGATTTTGAAGTGGGGATTTATAACGATGATACAAAACAAAATGATTATTCCAATAAAAAGCTAATAGAACTCATCGACTTTACATGTGAGAAAATTGACTACTTTTTAACGTTTTATATGTTGATTTATGTACAATTGAGAATTCCAAAAAATTATGCAAACGAAGATAACAGTTATGCTATCATTGATAGTGTCTGTCCAAAGTGGGAACACAAAATGATAAAAGCAAAAATGAATACAAATTTCTTTAAAAAGTCATCATTTTCGAGATTTACGTGGATATTTCATTTTTATACATATCAAATGAAACAGTTGGCGGCGATGGACAACAATGAAAATGTAGTTAATAAAATGGAAGAACTTCATGGTAACGTTTTACACTATTTACTACACACTATGCCACTTCACTCTCATTTGAAACAAATCCAAAGAAGAAGTATGGAATATTTTCCATATTTATCAGCGTTAGAGTATAGTTCAGCGCTAAATCACCTTACAAATTTCTGTAAACGTCAGTCTTTTACAGAAACCGAATTTGAAGGCTTTGATTTCGACCGGTTATACTTTAACAACATAATAACGGACAATGGAATAATGACTACCCTGACTACAAATTTTGGAGGCTTGAATAATAGTGACCAAATTGTTGAGCTGCTGTCTACAAAGATGCAAACGGTTAAAAATACATTAACACCGCTACATAATATCATTAGTTCGCTACAATATGTTCACATATATTTTATTCAAATGTTAAAAACAATAATGTTACGGATCTGTTGGGCATTTTTAAACGGCTTGCAATCCCTTAAAAGCGAACAGAGAGCACAAAATATTGACTTATTCAACTTTCATCTCAAGCATTTTGCGGATTTCTTTGAATTAAATAGTGAGGACGATTTTAGGATACCAATAAAACAATTAAATAGTTGGGCTAAAACATCTTCGGTATTTTTATCTGTACCTAAGTCTATGGTTATTCGTTTGTTGAAAAAATATGATAAGTATGATAGTTATGGGTCTATAAAAATGATGGGCAACGACAATATCGAATCAATAGAAAACATTGTTTTTCAATCTTTGGACCTCAAGGACCCTGAAAACAACCCTAAAGACGAAGCTGAAGCTAATAAAACCATAACAGAAAAGGCAAATATCGATAACAAGATTTCAGATACTATTGACTGTGCTAAAAGGTTGGTCGAATATTTAGGACACATTTTAAAAGGTGTAAATTTTGAGGTTATTCATGATTTTGTTAATACGTCATTTCCTAAAGACTTGTCATGTTTTTTTTAAATTAGATTAAATATCCAAATATATGATTTGTTATTAATCATTATTTTTCTTTAATTTTATTAATTAACTTATTTGAATTCAGAATTAAAATCTATTTTTTTCTTTAACTATTTACTGAGATGTAGCATCTCACTTCATAATCTCGACTCGAAATTCGTCATACAAATATTATAATAAAAAAAAACTGTGACGATTCATAAATTTTGAATTATGTATCACGGATTTTGATACTGAATCTTTTATTTGTTAGGTTTTTTGTTATGGTTTTAGTACTTTAACAAATTTTCTCTCCTCTAAATAATGTTTGTTTGTTTGTAATAAATATTTTAAAAGTTATCGTAATATCAAACAGTAACATTAGTACGTTTAGTTTTTTAAATTTGCAAAAAAAAAAAAAAAAATTGCCCACACGGTTTATGGTTTGAGACAATTATTGTAATATCACCTTATTTTTGTTTATGCGCTTAAATCCTAATGTGTTTGTTATTATATATTATATTATTATCATAAATATTCATATAATTTGTAGTTGTCCTAATGAAGATTATGTTTAATAAAAGGCTAAAATATTTTTCAATTGTATTACTTTCGTTTTAAAAAATTTATCGTACAAAAATTGAAATGTAACATACACAAGTTAAATACAAAACCCTATTATACTAAATTTTTATATGACTTCCTATAATCAAATTATTTTTGTACTATCTAAAAAATTATTTAAGAATGCGCCACTCGTATATTGATCATTTCGAAGTCTTCAAACAGGAATGCATCAAAGGGGGGGGGGAGGCTGAAGACTCAGGCCGTTAAAAAAAGTCAACTGCCAAAATTAGCTATTTGTTGTGGTTATTTTTTGTTCTCGTGCTTTGGAAGAAGTCTTATACGACGAATTGAAACAATTTATAGCAAGGATTCAACTCGCGGAAAATAGAAAAATAATAATAAACCTTTACAATAAGATTATAATTTTAAGCATATTACTGACTATGCATCTGATTATATACATATATATCTACAGATACACATCAAGTGTTTATTTGAAAGTGTTTCTATCTTTATATATAAAATGACCCTAATAATATAATTCAGTTTTTGTATTCAACTAATACTTTTTATAATAATTCTAATTAAAATTTCTGTGTTGAGCAAAATCCGACGATACGTTTTTACGATACTTTTTTTTATGGAAAACATTTTTTTAGGTCATATCTTGAATAGTTTTTTGTGTTTTTGAACTTTGAATTTGCTTGCATGATAGTATCTTATTGTTAAAAATATTATAGCGAATACAAAATATGTTGTATAAAATCAATAATAATACTTAAACAAATGTTGTTTTACCTACGTAGATATATCTTGTTTTCTAGCAACACATTTTTTAGTATTGTGTTCATATTTTCGGATATTTTAATAAATTGATAACATTTTTCTTTATTCTTAAATTTGCCGCAGTTAAGAGAATAGTTTCGCTATCATTTTTCTAGACATCCAAATTAAATATAGTATTAAGTAATAATTATGAATGTACATTAGGACAATTATTTTTGATAGAATATTATTGTATCACAATGTATAAGGTATAGTTATTCGCTATAATTATTTGAACATCAGGGTTTTACAGTGATGCAAAAAAATCGTTCAAACATTTAAATAAGTACACAATCGACAAAATAAAATACCTACGTTAAAAAACACTTGTTTTCGATAAATAACTAACTATTAAATCGTATTAGGTATTGTTTGCTAATTAATTATTGTCAATAAAACTTTAATTATAGTTATGAAACATAGAAAACCGAATAGTTACTGATGAGGAACAAAAAAGTTCTGGGGATAGAACTTTCTGTTAGCGAAATTTTAAAAAGAAGAACACTTACGGTAATTAGAACCTTTTAATGTAAATGGAATAGTGTTTGCACAATAGATAGAACCTTTTGACTACAATCTTAAGGGTGGGTATGGAGGACAGGGGAATGATAATATACTGTAAACATTGATTTGATGTCACCACGTTGTCATCGCTTTGTGATAACAATGAACTAATTAATTACCTTTCGGTGGCAATTTTGATACCGAGAAAATAGTTTCAAGTTTTATAGGTGTAGATTACTGACCTATATCAATACATATGTTATTATACCTGTGATAACATTGGGATTTTAATTGGTGGCGGCTTCTTTTGATGCCCACAATCGAAGCTAAAGCTTAGATTTCCCCTACAAAGCTGCAAATAAACATTAAAAGCTATGATAGTATATTTTTAAGTTAGTCGTAATACTTAATTTTGTATCAAAATTAAGATTTACCGAAAACTGGGGTCCGTTTAACTGACCTTCTAAGTATTCTACGTAATAAAAGATACATTAACGATCTACAAATCGATATTTTATTTTAAAATTCAATATTAGTTAAAAATGTATCAACAGTATAGATTTATTTTCAATGGTAGGCTGTAATATTATCCTGCACCAACAATAATTGTAATGTGGAAAAATTCTGTAATAAATTGTGAAATTTCTGTAACGGAAGGACAGCGTTTAATTACTTTTTCTCCCAAATTTGTTTTCAAGATAACTCGCAAAATAATTAACGTTTGACACAATCAAAAGTTCAAATTTGGAATGTGGGGATAAGAGGAAAGAGGGAGGGGCATTAAACTGACTTCGAAAATTTCCGAATCCCTTAAATACATGCGGAGTAGGCGAATTTAATTAATCATTATCATCTATATAACACAAATTTTGTATACTTACCGAGAACACCATCGTGTTTGTAATCGGGCACGACTATTACTTTGATTATCACGTTACCCGACTCGTCTACCGACATCGGTCCATTCAACATAGACTTGACATCGTAAACTTCATCCTTGGCCACAAGTACTTTTGCCGCACTGCTTGTGGACACCGTATAAAGAACTAAAAGCGCTTGGGCTGTGTGAAAAACTAGCATCGTTTGGTTGGCGTTTGACTTGCCACAAATCCGGGTTGAGTGTGGAGTGAAAATGAATTGACGGTCCTTCTTAATCGATAGAATTGTTGTTATTTTGTGTTAAATAATTAGTTCGGTAATAAATAATAACTCATACCTATCATAACACGAACTTGTGTAGTGCTAGACATTAAACGTATAGCGAAGGGACCAAGTGAATGTCGACATTTCAATCCGATAATTAGACGCTATCAATTAATCCGGTTAAAATATAGTGTAAAGATTATAACATTTCATATCGTTAAAAAAAAAACTTCTGATTACACGGTGTTTAATTTAAATTGGACTAAATTTGTCATAAATCTTTGTTTAATTTGAAATTATACGCAGAGAAAATTATAATTTATTGTTTATTAAAAAAGGTTGATAACATATATTTTATTGTTTGATTACGAGTATAGAAATATTATTATATTTGCATTATGTTTATCCTTTAATGCTGAATCTTTGACTGTTCTTATTTGAATAATTATTGTTATTTAAGTACTCAAAGTGATTATTGTCTTGAATATAGGCGCATGACCTAAATTATTTACCATCTAAAACAATGTAAATTAATAATTGTAACAATTAAATACTTACTTGAGTTATCAACTCAGATAAATCCAATACTGTTTTGTTTTTAAATGCCTATGACGCAATAGAAAAAAACGATTGTACTGAAAATTGGAAAGTCTAATTGTTAGGGTTGAATGTCAAAAAGTTACAATGTTCTGACGTACATAAAGTGTATTTTCCAGTTCAATAAATAAAATATAAAAAAATCATAAAATATATAAAACATCTTTTGAAACCTAACATCTTTGAAGCCTATGTAAACGATTATCCAATTTAATGAAGTTGTCAAAAATTATACTTGATAATGAAATCAATTATTGTAGTATTGTTCAAAATTGTTAAAAAAAAAAACAATAGGTATTGATGATAAAATGTTTTTTGTTTTCCAAAAGACATCGTTTAACGATGGATTGGTCGAAATAGTTAATAACAACAACAAAAAAAACATTTTTGTGTCCAGAAATTTTGAATTTTATAGGATTCCGGGTTCTTTAGTAATTTTTTCTTATTTTAGTGATTATTACTGGACTTTTTCCAGTATTCGTATTTGATTAACGCAACGTAGTAAAAAGAAAATCAATCAATATTTCCATAGAAATAAGTCAAAGTTTTTACTTTTGTATTCAAATTAATAACATAATTATAAACAATTGTTAGATTCATAAAAATAATGGTTCTACTAATATTTTTTTTATAAGTACAAATTTCCAAGTGTGTTAGATAAAAATATGATACTTAGAATTTACAGATACATTTTTCTAATAAATACTGACCAATTTATTCATTAAAAGCGTCCCTTCTTCTTTGGATTTTTAATCCAATCAAAAACCTTTTTATGTAAACTTTCTGGGCTGTTGCCAGATCCACCCACAACGACAGTTTTATCTCGAGATTGGTGACCCTAAAAAAGAAATTGTTTGTAAACAATTTTTTATTATTATTACATTTACCCATTATAGTATTGATATCAGCAATTTTACTGAATTATGTTGTTAATATTTTCTATTCATATTTTTAGTAATAAATTGATTATTGGATAATATTATAAGTAAGAACATAAAATTAAGGTATATATTAGATGACAAATAAATATAGTGCACAAATTACTACAAAATATAGAAGAGACTAACAAATATATTTTAAAATTTCAAAACAATGAGCCAACAGCTAATTGTTGGCCAGTTTAACTTACTCGTTTCAATTCTATATCATTTTTTTTTATATTCAATACATCCGAAAGAAAGTTTATTAGTTCAGAATTTGCTTTTCCTTCTTGGGCTGGTGCTTTTAATTTAATGTCAATTGCATCGGCGCTCACGTCTAGCAATTAATTAAAACCATTATATTATATTATGTATTAGTAAAAAGCATAGTGTTGATTCCTAAAAAATAATACTTAAATTACTATTAATACTGACCTGTAATCTCTGTTTTCTTTGCACCAGGTTTGGCATTAACTCTTATGGCAATATTACCGGACTTATCTTCTGTTATTGGCCCAGGCTTTATAGGCTCCGGTTCAATTTTAGGTGGCAAATTTTTAGGTTTAATTTTTTTTTTGCTGAATCTTTTCTGCCTGTCGATGATCGTGTAAGAATTCTGATATTTGGTCAAGGTTAAGGAGTTATCTGAGCCATAGCAATCCACAATTGGCAAATTGAATCCACTTAAATTCAAACACATCACAATTATAGCGTACCGCATAATTTGGGCCGTGTGACGAACTTGCTTTGCTTGAGTCTGCAAAACTTATAAACTGTTATGATAGTATGATGGAATGAAGTCAATCGATGGTTCGAATTGACAGTAATGTTATTATTTTCGGTCGACTCGATTATCGATATCATAGTAACTTGAAAACTAGTTAATGTGTGATAATAGGTCAACGCTTATCAGTCATAATAACACGAACTAGCAGTTAGCACAATGTTGGGCAACAAACGTGCTCGCCTTACCTATCATGTCTGGTTTATGTACATTTCAACATTTAAATACCCACTATTATTTAGTACATAAATGTTTTTATTACTGACTTGATTTAAACAACCTATTGGTGTAATGGATCTTAGATCCAATGTTATTTTCATCGATTTAAAGACCTTTGATTTCGGTGCTTTACACAAATTAACGCTCACTTCTGTACTTAAGGACATTTCCAAATGTAGTTTTTACTCAGAATTATATTTGTATAATATTATTATTATGATAAGGTAAATCTGTGTTTTTAATTCGTAAATTGAAACAATAGCCAAAAATATTTGAAACTCATATCTTAATTGTTAAATAGTAGTCCATATTAATTTGAGTAATTATATTTGTATTGCAATTGAGTTCGAGGTAATTATATTTTCAATTAATGGAAGATAAATAATTATAGAAAATAAACTATTACACCAGAATTTAGAATGATTGTTTTTTTAAATTAATTATTTTACATACATTTGAATTTACTTTTAATGGGTATTCCTATAAATCAAATAAATTAAGAAAAATCATAAACATAAGTCGCCATCACCATTTTTTGGCTATATCTTCGTTTATTATCGTTTCACATTTACTGCTTTTTAGTTTTCTTATCTCGATTGGTCAATAACGAAAAATATTTGTATTAAATCACAACTTTTTTTTGCATGCTGATCCTCTACATTTCTCTACATATTTGCTTTATACACCTAAATATATTTATATTTTTAACATCTTTTAGACATTAAGAGGTAGAGGTCGACCCGAAAGTTGAAGTAAGTAGCTTCTTCAAGTATTCGGTCAACATCCAGTTGTTTATTTCTTTATACTATTTTCTCCTATCTGAGAACATTTCTTCCTTTTCTTCTATCACGATCCGCCCACACTTTTATAACTCTATTAAGTCTTCACACGATATATACTCATATCTGACCAATGTTGTATACATTTCTAGATCCAGAGTCGGCAATCACGACGGACAATTCGATACTGAACTTCCAGAGCACTTGCCACGAAGCGTTGGAGACTTGCAACAAACAGCCGTACTGCCAAGAAATGGTTGCATCGATTTTTCGAAACTGCAATCAGAAACAGTGCAAGAAAACCAATTGCATGGAATCGTTGCAGAGCTTCTACAGGAACGATTCCATGGCGCCATTTGCCATAGAAATAGCATTCTGTTTGTGCAAGTAAGGCGCCACTTTTTCAGTATTTTCCTACCTAATAAATATGTACATTTATTTGTAATAGACAATTGTTATTTTATATTTTAAATCCAGGAATCATTTTGTTTAATTGGCCTAATGGGGTTTGATGCAATTTATTGCCCTAGAATTTCTTTAAACGTGTTGTAATATTTTAATGGAATTTCTAACAAATGAGTGTAGCCGAACAAATAATCCGACCAGTAAAGGTCATTACAAAACTCTTTACATTATATTATTTATACATTACTTCGAAGTTAATACCCACAATACTACCTATTTATTATTACTATATAAAACAATACAAATAAGTCAATCTCACACGCATGCCACGACATGAAAACAAATGGCTCTACGTTATTTTGTCATTATTTTACATTACATTAGGCGGAATTAAAAAGTTGAACCGATTTTGTTTAATTTTGTATTTACCGTTATTAAATTAATTATGCATCCAGTTATCATGCATTTCAGTTGTTTTTATTCAACTATATAGACCTCAACTATTACTATTTCTTTGAACGGCATTGAAAATATACAAATCAACCCTAAAAATATAGTTGTAACACCTCCTATTCTAAATTTTAAAGTTTAATAGCTTAAAAAATAATTATTTAAAACTGGTTATCGATCAGTTAAAATGTTTAGTAAATCATTCCTTCTTTAAAAATACATTAAATACGTTACTAATTAGGTTTCAAAATTTGGTAAAGCTCAGGAAAATCTTAAAAAAGATACAAATTTGAATATGGTCTAGTATTGTAAAATAACATTAACAAAAATGTTTTTAAAAAGAAGAAAAATTAGTAAATTGCAAATATTCTTAGAGAAACCCAGTGTTAGATATGAAAATAATCACCCGGTACTTAATAGAAGCATTGGAGCAATTTTAAAGGGTTCTAGCTATTTTCAAAGCTGTGCAAGCTTGAATTAAAAGTATTAAATTGGCCATTATCAATAAATCTCCCACTTCCAACTCTTTGGAAAACATCGCCTGTAACGAATTGCGTTATTTTTCAGAAAATCTGGCGTCAACAAGGACAAGTGTTTGGTGGCTCAAGAAATGTTACATCCGGAGTGCGCTCAACGCGCTGACGGCCCAGGGAAAGTACCTTGTCATGCTCTGGCTGAGACGTGTAGGACCAAGCCAGAATGCAGGTAAGGCTACCATAGAGCATAATAATTATGTTTTTTCTATTTTCCTTGAGCTGAATATTTTTTTACATAAAGGCTATTAATAAAAATAAAAAAAAGTTATTTTTCAACATAATCCAAAATGACTACGTTGTAAAAATGAAAAGTTAAATAATGTTTCATTATCTTTCTCTGCTACGTATTTTTCAATTGAATAACTTAAAAAGTCTCATAATTTAATTTTGAATGAATTTCATAGTGTATAGTGTATTCCGAGTATGAATGAATGTATTAAATTAATAATTAATAACTAGAAAATGTATAGAAATGTATAGGATTGAACTCGTTTAATTGTATACATTCGCTTCTCAATATTTATATTATATAAGTTCCTCGACTGCCCCTTGAAAATATTACTCATTTATATTACTTTAATGCATAACAATTTAACAAATCCGTCTTCTCGGCTCCATTAAATTTAAATAAAAACACGAGTGCTTAGGCTGAATAAAATTAACGGTAGTTTCCAATGTTAAATCTTTGGCACCGAGTATTATAATACAATTTATAAACCGCTTTTTGCGGGGGCCTATTACACGGGTATTATAGAGCGTAACCGAAAGGGATTGTTTTTATGGTATAAAAATATAATTATTGTTCGGTTGTTTTTTGCTAAATAACACGTACGTGCTTAAAGCTAATAAAACGGAAAAATATAAAAACGAAAACGGTCGCTTACGGGAAACTCGGCTCATTAATATGCCACTTAAAAGCTTTTAAACCGGCCACGACCACCCCACCGTCTTCGAACAGCTTATACACAAGCGTCAGTCGACCTTTTAGCCACCCCGCGTGTCTTTCTGAGCTTGAAAAATAAAAATCATTAACACGGTCTTTGGTAGGTTGGGTTAGGCGTCTGACGTTAATTACTGTGCAACCCGTTACATAGTCCTGTTGCGTTAAGGCGATAATGTAATATCGTTCACAATCGAATAGTCTCACAGAAATCCGGTTGTAGGTTGGTCATAAAAAATTATATTGATGTTATATTCTACATATTATATGGTTATGTTTAGGGACTACAGACGAGTAAAATCTGGTTTCATTATTTTCGAATCAAAGGGAGAGTACATAATATTATTTTCCACCCTTAAAGGTATGGAATACTTTTTTTCATTATATAAAACCGCAAAATTTGAATTAGTCCTTTTTTAGTGTGACAACAATTATTATTATTGTGATAGTATTACAATAATTATTATACCGGTAAAAGCATTATAGTTTTAATCCCCGTCACGTTGAATTGAGTGGAGTTGGGTAAAATTCAAAACTAACAGAATTAAAAATGTATTCGAGCTCAGGGTGATGTGTGGAGAAGGGTCGGACGCGTGAGATTCTTTCACTACAAATTACATTCAATTACATTGAAACGGTTACAAGCATAAATTGTTTAATTGAATATTTTGTATAAATTAATCAACCGTGTATCAACCTGAATAAAACATATTTTATTCCGAAACAAAATATATTTGAATTAACAAATACACGAAACAACCAAAAACAATTACCTATTAAGAAATGACATACATTTAGTCTAATTATATCAATTGAAGGGTCCGGTGCAAGAACCGGCTATTAAGAATCGGTAAAGTCAGAGTATGACCTAAAAAGATATTACAAAATGCATTTTCCCCCATCAATAGTGGTAGATGGGACAATGGATTTTCTTTTGGACGTCCTGAACAATTTCAAAATATGGAGATAGCCGGTTCTTGCACCGGACCCACGAATTTCAATTTATAATCTCTATTACTAGGCATATTGATTTATTTTTAATGTGCATTAATCACACTGTAAATAGGTCCAGGTTGGAAGCTTATGAACAAACGTGTTCGGTCGACGCCTTGACCAGCCGATGTGCCGGTCCACCGTCAGAGTGTCGTAAGTCCATTGTCGGTGTCCTCGGAACAATCTTGCGGACTAACTGCGTTTGCAAGGACACGTCTCCGGTCAGGTTCAACGACTGCATGGGATGGCAGAGAGTGTTTTGGTTCAACTCTTGCGTGGGTACGAATACACACCTCTATTTATATATCTCCATGCTTTTGTAACTCGTATCTCGAAATAAAGAAAACGCAAAGAAATCAGCTAACGTGTCCACGTTAGTTAAACGTTTTGATGTTGTAGTCTAATTCTATAAAAGTCTAATCTATAAATTCAACGCTAACGTTTCAATTGTCTATGCCGTAGTCGAAGCCCAACGAGACTTTCACATGATCAAGATAAAGAATTTGAACGGAATGGACCGAACGTCTCCGAGACCTCGGCCTTCGAGCATCGTGCCTAAAGGACCAAGACGCGACCACCGCCGGCATAGGACTTCTACCACTGCGGTAGGAATTACAGCGGTCACGACCACTTTCTCGGCTGAAATCGCTGACGTGCCAACCACTACAACAAGCAACATCAAAGTCCTTGTAGCCGGCAAAAAATTCAAGTCTGCCACCACTGTCAGTCCGTCGACAGCTGTCAGCACGATCACTTCTACAACCACAACGACTCCGGCTCCTCAAATACCTCTTCGTGAGTTCATTTTTTACTTAAACCTAACAACCTACTTACAGTAGGCCTCGTACGAAAAAAAAAGATTCTAGTTATTTTTTCCGCTTTACGGAAAAACATGAAATCATAAATATGTTAACTCTTATCACTTCTCTTTTATCGTTTATCTATTATCACTTATCTTTATCTTGTTCTCTTCTCTCTAATCTCTTATCTCTAATATTTTATCTGTTATTACGTGAAAATGGCGACATGAAATTTCTTGTATCCAGCCCAGTACTATATCCATGTTAAAATATGACATTTTCTCCATATAGACTTCTTCCAATCAATGTATTTATAACATTATAAAGTGTGACGGGTCGATCCTCTGAGTTTCTGGAATTTTTTACTCTTTCTCTATGAGTTTGTCGATACTTTAGCATTAACAACCCAGTAAATCGGTTCAATGATAGGTACTTATTTTAAATTACAACTTATTTATTTATTTATTTATTAAAAGCAGCTTAGTAGTAGTGTAAGTGTGGACAATGGACGTTAACTGGTTAACATCCTTAATGATCGTTCTCTTCAGATTGGCTTATATAAAAAATAGCTCAGCTTATTTTTTTTTCGTATTGTTAAACTATAGTTAATTTTTAGGCTTAGTTAATGTTAAGCAATATGCTAACTTTAACTATTTGATTTCACCGGGTTTACATACGTTATTAACTAAGATTCAACTAATTTTGTTATTTTCTACAAAAACCCCGTCTTGCGCGGATTAATTTTACAAAGGCTATAATCAGAACTAAGAAGCCAAATATTTACATAATGTAGACAACAACATTGTCTGTGTTCTAACATCACCTTTTTTTTAACATTTCAACCAGTTAATGAATAATTAATTAATTAAGAAAGGACTTTTTTTTACTTTTTTAAAAATGATATAGCGTTAGTTGTATTAGGTATATCACAAAAATACGGATGACGAAACACAGACAATTTTGTCATAAATAATAAGTATGAATTTCTTTCCTTAACTATATATGAAGTCTGAGAAAAATTAATCCGCGCAAAGCAGTTTTAATGGGAAAAAGTTTTTTTTTTTTTATGAATAATTATTTTACTTAATAAATAATTATAACTTTTTAACATCTCTTGCAAAATATTGATTTTACTGGTAACGATTAAAATGTACATGACTTATAAATCAAATATATTGTAATAAAAAAGCAAACTAGATAAAAGTTAATAAATAGAAAAATTTACTACGGTAATTTGTCTGAGAAGAATTTTATTTTGAATACGGGCGAACGTGAACATTTTTAAAACGGTGAACCATTTGATTTTATTAATTTTTAGACGGTTGCAGTCTACAAAGGTCACCGCACTACAACAAACAATTTTTGGCTGAAGGGGATGTTATACGGGTAAGTTGTTATTTGTATTATCTTTGTATAATGTAGTATCTAATTTCTACGTACAAGCCCGAGGTGCTTAACCCAATTAATAAACTAGTTTTAAACATACATATACAAAAACTACATATGTCAAATGTTTCAAAGCAGTTTTAGGTTTTTAATGGTGTTTTCATTACTAACGTAAAAGTATAAAGTAAACGTGAGCATATTAGTACTGAAGTAAAAAATGAGGGTTTTAAAAAAATAACCCTTAAACCAAAACATTCGTTTGGATCTAAAAAAAACACGGACAACTTGGACTAGTTGAATTTGCGACTATTTATGTTAAGGGGATTGAAAGCGGTCGGTTCTTTGCACAAAAATCTGACAAAATGTGTAGGCCTACTTAGGATGATCGAATTTCAAACATGTAAACATATTTGAGTAATCGGCCTGTTTTTTAGGTTCGAATAAGAATCGATTTCCTTAAAAACCGCCCACTTTCAATCCCCTCAACTGGGGTCAATGTATACCTACTTAGAATTAGTATTGATATGCTAAGAATATTATATTATGTGTTTGTCCCTCACTCTTTGGTGGCTCCCAACAGCTTCACAGTCTGGAAGACAACTCGTGTTCGGAAGTGTGCAACTGCAAAATCGGAGAGAGCCTCACGTGCCAGACCGTTTGCGTCGAGGTGGAACCGTGTCACACTGAAATCGCATTCTATCATCACGAATCGCCGGCTTACATAGCTTTCCGAGGCCGTTGCATATGCTACGTGGGACGTTTCATCTGCATGCGACCGAAAACGAGTGAGTACCAGTCTAGATATTCACAATGCATTTGGTGTTTACCGATAGCTCCATGTGTTTTTTTTATCAATAAAACCCCCACCGCAGGTGAGGTTTAACGGTAATGTGGAATATTTGAGCTATCTAAAATTTAAACCCACGCGCGGTTAGGTGTATATATTATATTATGGGTATTATTTATCTGACTGTGGAAATATTAACAGTTTGACCCACATTCATTTTTTCCAATCCTATTCCGAGTGACGTGCGATTAAAAAATAACTGTCTATGTCGACGGCACACATATTCATTAGAGTAGCTAAATTGCCTACACGGAGTGCCGTCGTTACACAAACTGTTATAAACCGCGTAAACTCGTGCGTTATTCAAAAGACCACGTCGTTCGCTACTGAAGCTGTTAATTAAAATATTTTATTAAAGCTTTAAATACGAGCAGCTTGATTAGTAATCTGGTTTAGGCTTTATAATTACATTAGTTTAAAAAAAGAAAAAAACAATTTGCGCAACAGATTCCATTACCCTTTTTTTTATACTATGCAAATTGGTTCGTTGACCTCGAAAAACACATTCATTTAAAAAAAAAAAATATAGAAACCGTAAAATTCTCAATTTCTCATTTTTGCTTCGGAGTTTTTTCTTCTTTAACGTAAACATAAGCTAAACGATTTCATCGACAAATGAAGGCCTTCGAACAAAGTTGTCGAGGATTTGAACTAAAATTGCTTTTTCATAAGAGAATAAAAGGCAAAGAAAGAGTTGGAATTATTTATCATATAGTTATACCGTATAAAATTACTGGAATTAAAATGAACAAAATGCATAATGAAAAAAATTTTCAATTTTGACAATTATTATTGTCACAAGACATGCCAAATTTAAAAATTCACACCTCGAATACCAATTCAAAGAACAAAATTGGAATGTATTTTTTCTTTCAAGGTCAGCGATCATATTTATTTAAAAATAAGGTAGTGGCATAACTTAATAGCGGTGACACGCGAAGCTTTGTTTAGTGAAAATGGGGAGGTTAAAAGTATATTTTCACTACATATATAACAGATATGATTTTTTTTCATACATGCTAATATTTATACACACTCACGCGTTAATAATTTTTTGTGTCGTAGATACTTACAGTCTCAAGCCGGGCGTGTTCCTATTCTTGGGCTACAGCGAAAAGGACGAAGCTTTGTTAAAGGGTTTGGACATCATACAGTTTGAAATCGGAGACTTGGTTTACACTATACAAAAGTTCATACAAGACCACATCAAGTCCAACGTGAGTACATGTCAAACATAATATATTTTTACAAACCCAAAGTGATCGACTCTTTCTGCTTAAACTACTAGTATTAATACCAGTGACCATCGAAAATAATTAAATGATGCAAGTATATGAGTTTGTTTTCCCTCTGGTTTTTCTTTACATTATACTGTTATATTATGTATTGTCCGGAGTCTGAAAACTTGTTCGATTTGGTACACATCTCTGCGAGTGACTTCTTACACCACACTTACATCTTTTTGGTTTTCCCCAGAGTTAAAGAGTTTTCTTCTCTATAATACTGTGTGTGTTGTGGTATTTCCCACGTGACTGCGAGTAGGCGATAAAACAACGTTTACGAGCAATGACAGATTCACTCGTTTAAAGGAGACGTGAACTTGCAGACACACACACACTCGTATAGTACAAACATTGTATATACCTATATATTTATTATAAATTGACTTTATAGGGAACCATCTTTAAAACGTTGCCGTGACTCGGGCATAGCGTGCGTGACCACTTTATTCCCCTTCGGACAATTAATTTCAAAAGATTTCTTAGAAAAACAAACCCGCCAATAATTACTAACCTGCCTCTTGGGGCTATTATCATTGAACGATAAGACAAGCGCTCCAGTGTCAGCAGCTACTGCTGTGTACAACAGTATAATACATGACATAGGTTTTGGTGTAATTTTTTTTTGTGAAACAGAATTCTGTTAATGGGCTATAAATTTATTTAAAACTATGTACCTAAATAAGTAGCCGTTAAAATTGGTTAAAAAAAAATACCTACTCAATATGTAAAACGGAGGAAAATCAAATTAAAAAACGAAAATTTTAAAACCCATGTAAATTATGGCAATTATAATTATGATGCAAATAGGAAAACATGTTTTGAAAGGGCTCGCAATAGTAGCGCATGTCTTTTTCCCAGCAATTGTTAGACATTTTTTTAGGAATTATTATCACCGGGTTTCCTGTATGTCAACATTTCCGGTAACATTTATTTACAATTTATGGCTTCGAAAGTAGTGATTTTACTCTTGGGAACTCTTTTCTCGGGGCTTACAGATTGCTGTAAGAGGATAAATAAAATATCGTCCCTGTACACTTTAAAAATGGGACACCTATGCTATATCAAACTTTGATTACATTTTTCCTTTAAAATCTTCTTACAATAAGACTTTTTTTTTTGTGGATGCATACGATTTTCTCGATATGGTATTAATGTATTATGGTCCTCAATTCTATCTAATAGAAATTAGTTATGACGTGTATATCTTTTTTGCTGACTTTCTTGCAGACTCGATTTCATTTCTTGCACACAGGATTTCCGTAAATGAAATTGTTGGCAAGGAGTTTACTAGCTCAGTATAGAAACAAATAACTAAAAGAAAACTTTGACTTGACGATTGACGGAATCCCTTTTGATAATTTATATTATACGCCTATCTTAATTATAATAATACAATTATCGTCTAATAAAACACTCAACGATGTAAGATTTTTAGCTTTCGTTTCCACTAAAGTTATTCGCAATCAATCGATGTAGGTAATTTCATAACAATGTTCTCTGTGCGTTTAGCTTCGAATTCGACTTAACATAAATTATACCCGGCTCGGTTTTCAATTAACACCACAGTATATTATAATGATATGCAAACATGTCTTTAACTGTGTTCTCACACAATAATTTATCGGTCTGAACGGTTCAAGTTTATTTGGTCATTTGCTTAACTATTATGATCACAAATTAACAACAAAATTATACGGATACGATATTAAGTAAACCAGATCAAAGACAATGATTTTGCTGGTAATAAACTACAATAATTATGCTATTAAAAATCAATGATGTCGCATATAAGCATACAAAGTATGTGCAATCATATTTCCTTACTACATTTACCACCTTTTCTCCAAAAACAACCTAACCGTTCTAGTATTTATTCTAACAATTTCTCACTTCCTAAGTGAAATTAAAAAGTTTCGGTAATAGATGTATTTATACTTCTTAGCCATTTTCTTCTGTTGCTCTAATATTTTACTCTTAAACTCTTATTATAATAATATTATTAGACATTCGGTATTGCATCATGATACATGTATGTCCCTATTGTAGACCCTGTGCATTATGTTGTGTTTACAAATAAAAATAAAGCTTTTTATGCTATGAACGATTGTGTTTATTTTTCAGACGACGTGCAAATTGTATTTTCACAGTTTGTCGTTCGAGAACATGATTATCGTTGGGAAGGCGTCTCCGAAATTGGCAGCCAACGGAGGATATGCGAAAAATACAAAGGACGTCCGGTCTTCCGTTATTCAGGACAGTGTAAGTGCACTTAAGTTTGTTTATTACACCGCTGCTTTGAATTCGTGTGGACGTATTTGACACGTTTCCACATAACATGTTTTAAATAATTGAAAATACAACGAATTTGCTTTTATTCGGTGGGGGGGGGGGGGAATTCACCCGGCTCATACACAATGTTTAGTTTGTCGTCACAAAGCTTTTGTGTTTTTGTATAATTATATTATGTTATTATCATCAGCCAAACTTTTACATACTATCAGTAGTACTATTAGTTTGCTTATTAGTTACTACGCTTTGGTAGTAGAAAACGAAATCCTAAAATGACATTAGAACTAAACATCTCTTGTCATCTTCAGCACTAACGACAGGATGATATAATTCCCTGTATGGTTTTTTACATTTACATGCAATTCTAGTACGTCTGCTTTGTATTAAGTTTTTCCAGTTTCAGAATAAATTTCTACTTTTGATTTTCTCTATTAAGTGTAATTTGCCTAGGTTAAAAATTATTGTTTACTTTCTCTAAACACACACTAAATTATCTAAACATTAAAACAAAATTTGTATTTACCTATTGTTGTTTCTTTGATTTTTCCATCGATTTTTTTTATTTAACAGTGTTATAAATAAATATAATAATGTTTAAAGGTAGGCATAGGTGTAATCGGTATAGAAACACTATGAAAACTCCATCGTGATTTTAAATAATAATTTATTAATTGTTTGTACACAAATAAAACCCTTTTTAATGACAAATATTAATTAAAAACGAAATGCTGAGTTGGAATTAGCAATTCCCACATCCAATTCAATATCAAAAGGGTTTCGAATACATGCACTATTTATTATTGACAAAATGTTTTTTTTTAATATGTATAATACATGTATGTAATGGACTGTGTATCCAATGAGGTTTTACTAATTAAAATTTCTACCTGGAAAATAGAGATTGATAAATTCTGTTTTTGCTGTATAATTTCTAGAAATGTATACTAATAGTAAACAAAATATATAAGTAGGTAAGAACTTTTAATTTTATTTTTAATTATAAAATTACGGCAACTAACTTCACATCGTTTTTTTTCAGAAAAAGGTTTAAATGGAAAATTGTTCTCGATAAACGGCGAGCTATAATAATTATTTTGTATCCAGCTTGTTATAGTCCTTTTATTATAAATGAGAATATAATTGAAATTTAATTTCCCATAGGTTTTTTACACTGGGTAATGCCATTAAATATATACCAGCTAAATATTGCAGAGTCAGTGAATTGCATTCTCTAGTGGTTTATAAAAAAAATGTAAAAACAAAATACACTCTGTAAGTACATAATGTTATGTATATGCTTTGCGGTTAAACTCGTTAAGCGCAAAAAGTTTAAATAATCCATTAACCGTGGAAACGATTATATATATATATTTTTTTTTTTGTAATTTAAATTTTTTAAGTGAAGGAGGCGGGGTATTTTTCGTTTTCAAAACGAACAAATCAAAGGTATAATACTTTTTAAAGTCTTTATCGCGTGCAGCAAGCCTAGTTAAACTCGTCTGGTACTTAGCTGTCTGTCCTGATAAACCAATATTAGCAATGGTAATTCATGTTAAAAAAAAAATAATAATAATAAATTTAACAGCGCGTTAAATGCAAACACACGCATGTATTCGACGACTGTATTGGTATTTATGTTGTTTTTTTTTCGACTCTTCCTTATCCGAAAAATATATATTTACATTTATAAACAACATAATATCATACAAACGGTTCAAGTTTACATAAACTCTACATGTATTGGTTCGGAGGGTAAAAAAGGGTCCACAATAATATCACTGACCTCCGCTCTGTCCGTTGGCGTATGGCGTTGTTTCTTGTACAAATATTTTATGCTGTTTTTGCGAATTCAATTGTTTGGCCATTCGGTCAAGGAAACAAATATGGTCAATATATTTAGGTTAATATAATTCAATCGATAACCGGATACAGAACGGAAACAGACGGATTCCTGGCAGCACCCTATAAGATATGGCCAAGTGCAATTTGATAATCCGAACAAACATGGTACGTTAAAGGCAATCATCTCATCCCCTCGCCCATCAAAAAAAAAAAAAAGAACTGAATAATACATATTACTTGCTCGGCCCCTCCGACAACATCGCATCTCGATTTTACCTTTTCATGTAATATTATGTACAGAAAGGACCAAGCCAACGATTGGTATGAATGGCAAGTCCTACGCACTTCTTATACACATAGCCGATTCGATTGCTGAATGCGAATCGCCCGGAAATATATTTTTTTAGCCTTCGTCTAAAAAAAAAAAAATGATTATAACTCTATAATGAATGATACCGAAGCAAATTAAAAAATACAGGAATATTCTTTCCCCCCCCCCCCGTGGGTATTAATAACCATTAACCCCATTCCATCCAATATCCTTAGCTCTCGTTCCGTTTCCATCATAACATACATCAATGGATTTATTTTAAACGCTGACTCTTCTATTCAATTAAGAATATTAATAAGTGGTAATTTTTTGTTGTAGATGTGTTTACTTTTATTTTAATTTGATCCCAGCATAGTAAACGTTATAAGCTACTGTAACAGTTGAGCTATAATATTGTCCAAAAAAAGCTAATAATAAAAATACATATATTTTTTTTAAAAATTGGACAAAAATAATTATATAATTGACATTCGAATGTATTTTTTGTTTTTGTACAGTTGGCTTGTTTCGATGTTCTGAAGAACTTCTCGTACATGGTTACAACCCAAGCCATGCCGGTGAAGACTAACTTGTTGCTGTCGCTTTTAAAAATTGCCGAAGTCGACGTCCTTCTGCCGGCGTTGAGTTCTTCTTGGAGTCCGATCACCTATGCTCCAAGCAACTTAATCATTTCTCTGTCGCTGGTAATTATAACCGTCCTACTAGCGTACCTAGACGTGTGAACGACCATAAAGAAATCATTCCCACTCTCTCGTCTTTAAATCTCTATACTTGTGTACATTTGTTGGTTTTTTTTTCTATTTCATACATAATGTGTAAAAATATATATATACTCAAGAAACGGTGACGGTCCGTGTGAACGGGTTTTGGAAATTATGCTAACCGAGTCGACCAGACGGGCACGAGGTGTATGAGTTGTTTGAGTTGGAAAAACTAAAGTTTCATATCGCCATTACGATTCAAATAGAATAGTTTTATTCCATTCTGTGAATGCTTACTTGCCAACGTTCACGGCTGGTCCAGTCGGTTTTGGAAAAAAACAATTTTTTTAACGGCTCCGCGACGGCCATTAAATCGCTCAAACGAACAAATATAATGTGTACCAGTGTAATGGTAATTAAATAACTATATATTAAGGTTGTACATAAACGTTAGTGACAGGTAATAATTATTAGCGGGCAGAGAGTGTTTCGAAAAAAACAAACATTGTAGTAATCAGCCGTTTCGATTTTGACGTTAAACAATAATATCGTGTGTGTACTACTAATTGGTAACCAAAAAAAACAAAATGCAAAAAAAAGGAAAGGCAGAGAAAGATAGGCTGGAATTTGTTTTAAGGGGAAAAACTCACTGACCAAATAAAAAAACGTAGGTACACACCAGGGCGGGTGGCTGCTTACACAACACCGTCAGGGTAGTGTTGAAGGGTAGGTTAGGGAGGGTAGTTTTAAAGGGAGAGTTGGGGGAATGGGTGTGTTGAATATAAAAAAAATAAAACCCCATTCGCGTGTCGCCGTATAGAACTTTTTTTTGTAAAATAATTCCAACCGTATAATTATCGCAACCACAGCCGGTACTCATTTACTAATTGTGTTATATTATGTACTTTTTATAATAAATGTTGGGAAAAACGGACGAATCGAGACGATCCAATCGGGTTACAATATAATATATTTATTTGCAACCTATCATTGTTATTATCGTGGCGGTAATTTTTTTTACTCAAAAAAATTATGAAGAAAGCCCCGCTTACTATAATATATAGTAAATATTATACATCTTGTTCATACGTTTTATTGTTATGTTGTAGTTTTTTTAGTACAACTGCAACCGTAACCATTTGGTATAATAATATACAAAGTTCAATTGCTAGATTCTGAAACGTTAACCACTCTCCTATTTCCAAACAAAAAAAACAGCATAATGCGGATCCTTGCTGAACACTTATTCTCACGGGGAATTATTCTATTCCGTTACACACACACATACACATCTAACACTCATATTTTTCACTCCTTTAAAACATAATATCCTCAATTATATTTCCTTATACCCTAGAGACATATGTTTTCTCTTTCAGTACTGTTTAAAACATTTTTTTTTAGCATATCCGTTCTCTAAATCTAGAAACCTTTTAATTTAACATTTGTTACCTTGATTTGACGTTTAATTAGAGCCGACGATTAACTGGGTGTAATTAATCAAAGCGTCAAAGTTCCTGTAAAATGCAATTTAAATCAATAATCTTTTAATTAAAAACCGGGTGGCAAAACGGCCGGTGTTCCAATGACTTAGTATTGTGTCGCCTCGTTTTTTCTTCGTTAATTAAACAAACTACTGCAAGGCTTTTAAGTATTACACGCGTACCGCAGCAATAAACATATGGGTTTACGAGTGCATGTTTAGGTGTAGTCGGTATGTATTTTCGTTATGCGATAAAGCTCACTTAACGCAATAAATGCTAATGGGCAAAGCAAACGACGGTACACGACCCTGATGGCGCAGTCACATTTGCGGTGGTAAGGGTTGGCACGAGTAAACATCATGTGAGTATAAAAAGGGATGATGGGGGAGGGTGTGATGGTGCGGTTCGAGTCTAAGTATGTATTCGCTTTAAACGGGCAGTAACATTATGATTTCCGGTTTACTTCCGGGACCTTTTAGCGAAATTACTGGACGACGGTTTAATCGACGTTTTATGAACGGACGTAAAGCATATATTAAGATACTTATGAAAACATAAATCCACAAATTGTGTATGGTCGACTATTGCGGGCTTAGGAAAGTCAAATTTAAACATCATTCGACATCAGCACTTTATACATACCACGTTGTTAACCACACACAGCACTACGGGGAACAATAATTAACCGGTAAAATACTTGACAACTAACATACTATTCTTATAAAATTGTGCTATGAAGAAATATTAACTTGATTTTTTTTTTTATAATTTTTTGTCATAAAATTTAATCCATGAACCGTGTTATAATTGTTTTTGAATTTAAATAACAATTAAATTATATTATTTTAAAACTTTGGGTGTGTTGTACAACGAACTTGACCATCAATTGGTGGCAGCAGCTATATTTACTTGTTTGAAGTTAAACGAAACACTCTCTGTAAAGCCGACCGGTAACTAGTGGCACCGAACTGAACTAGTATCTACTAGTCACAATTGAAATTATCCTGGAAGTAAACTGAGTAATGATCACTTTTATAAGTTCTACTATAAACTCAATCAGTTACAATATTTACTTAACGCTTTAAATAGAAAATATAAAGATCATTCGGTGCCACATCCGGTAAATATATTAATGACATAAGTTAAACGTATTTAGATAGAGTTATAAATCCAGTTTCTTAAAATTGTGATATCCCAAACCTAGGATTCATGCCATAAGATTTTCACTATCTTGTTATAGATATTTGGATTTTATGGTTTGAAAAACTGGATTTTGCCCAACTACCTATTTATAAGAATATTAGAAAAACAATAGTCATGGTAATCTCTGATGGTATTAGTATTAACCATGTATAAACATGTACATTGTACATATCAAAATCATATCAACGGTAAACTTGTACAAGACTAAAACATAACGTATTTAAAAAAAAAAACAACACTGAGTTCATTTTTTTAATGAAACAGTTTGTATAATATGTTAAAGGTATTTTTAACTTAAACAGATATTGCTTAGATTTACAATTATAATATTGTACACGGTGAAACTGTTTTAAAATAAAGTGTTAGCGTTATTTTATCAGATAAATATCACGATAATATGTACTTTAAGATAACATGTTCTATAGGAAATAATTATAATACATTAGTCGTTTTAAGGTTTTTAATTAAGTTTATAAAGTTTAGATAATAATGTTATGACCTATAAATGGGTACATACAGAAATAGGCAAACGTTTCGAGTCGGCTAAGAAGTGTCTTTTTTACAATTTGTTTTTTTTTTAAATAGTTGAATGTTATACTATCTTCATATACGTACTCTGTAGACTATCCCTAAACAACAGCTTGACTTAAAGATTTGAACGTTGCGGCATAAGATATCCCGTTAAGAAATTTGTAATATTAAAATATTTTTTCCCTTTATAATAATGTCTTTGATTACGACGTCGCTGGTATAATTTTTTTTTAGTGTTAGCATAATGCAATCATAACGCTAATGTACATAGTACTTAAGGAGGCTACCATAACAAAATATTATAATAATAGTGTAATTTACAAGTACAATAATCAATTTCAAAATTCCTCCCTTTCCCCTCCAAAAGAACCTTATTCAAATAAATTATTCATAATACGTTGTACAATCAGACATAATAATAATAATGTATTATTATACCGAATTTGCAATCCGGTTTGTAAATTAACTTTAACAAAAAATAGCCTTTGAACACAATTTTATCAAAGTCAAAGTATACATATCAAACAGTTAATCATATGCATATCATAATGATGTGATGGAAAGGATTGTAACTAGTAGGAGAAAACAAATTATTATTTTTTTATACGTTTGTATAATGTTAGGAGGGTCGTATTAGGTTTAGGTAATTAGACAATCAAAAGTATCGGGCTTTGTGGAACTATCAAAGAGATTAATATGAAGTACCTGACGGCATAAACAGTTGTATGTTATGATAATAATATTATACTTATCCAGGATACGCTTGTAAACGGTTTAAGCTACTGTCAAAACTGGACCAGAACTAACTATTTTCAATAGTGTTATCGTAGCAGTGCTTATTACTTCTGAAAAGGTTCAATGTTTACCGTACTCCATTATTAGTAAGCACCTTTAGTTACCCTTTTACGGTTAAGTTACTGATGGCAAATAAACACAGAGCTGACGCTTACAATATAAATTAACGTTTGACAATTAGTAGCAAAAAGGTCGAAGGGAATGGGTTACAACTATGTTAATAACTTAATTATTTATATTTTCGGATTATTTTTTTACGGGACATTCTTATATAATATTCCCTGCACGTGGGAGGATCGACCCGAGGCATTTAACGCACAAACATTCGAGTAAACTATATTAAATCGCATTGTCCTACACACTATGTTTTAAAAAAAAGTTTTTCTATTAGACCTAACAGTTTTAACACCCGTCCAGTTTTGGCTTTGCACGCTAAGTCCGTACCCAGAAGTGTTTAAGAATTCAAACGACCGCAAAAGTATAATTTATTACATTATATTGTCGACTATGACGTTAAAGACAAACAAAAAAACAGTTATATAAAAGATGATACTATAGTGCGACACAAGTTAGAAAATTAAAGTAAAATAATATATTATATTAAATAAACAATGGTTACACTCAGCTTTTTTTTTGGAATGATAATAATAATAACATTTTTATAGTTCCAAAGTCATAGCGAGACAAATTCAAATCATTACTTTGTACTTAAACGTAATATTAGATATTTTTTATATTATTCAATAGCATATCGGATGAAAGGGTTTGATTAACGTCGCTTACAAATATTAACATTATTTCATTCAGTGTTGGGGGATGAAATAAATCATTGTTAAATATGATGAGCATTACAATATTATCTATAACTTAATAAAAATTACATCAGATATTCGTTAACATTTAATGATTGAGAATAACTAATTTGTATGTTGATAATTCTTATAAAATTAAATTGGTCGACCGTGGTTTAATTTTTACTTAAAGCCGAGTTCATTGTTTAGCTAACTAAAAAAAACAATTATCACCAAAACCTAATAAGATTTTTCGCTAAAAAAAAAAATTCATAACATATCAAAAGTTACACAATGTGATCTAAACGTTATAAATTTATGAACTATACATTTTATATTGTATTTATGCAATAATTTTAGTTGTCATTTATCTCAATGATACACCTAATATATAAAACCTAATATATATTTTATGTTTACATAAAACCGTTGCAATTGTATGCTAAATATTTTATAGATTTGGATTGCAAAGAAAAAAAATAATGGAAATATTATATAAAGATTTAATTGAAAAGATTTTGTTTACTAAAATATAATATTAACATTGTTGTTAACGCAAACATATCATAGTATACAGGAACGTGAGAGGATATTATAATAATATTATTGTTGATATAATAATAAGTAACAATGGTGTTGATTCCAATATTAATAACAATAATAGAATAGCGGTGATTAAGTAAGAATAGTGCTTAATATTAAAAATACAACACTGTTATTGCTTTGGCCTAAAATGTATATAAAATACTTGAAGAGGTATCGTTTACGAGGCCAATGGCGTGTTGCAATATTGTAGGTATGATTGCATTATTTTGCAAAAAAATTCAATATAATTTCATAAATTTAAATATATTTCAACTATAGTTTAGACCATTTCGGACTTAGTAAATAGAGATAGTTTTACTTGTTTGTGTTTGTCTGTTGAATAGATAAAGGTATGATCAGGACAGCAGTGTTTTTTTTTAAAACAGAATTTAGTATATTTCTAATTTAGCGTTTACCAAAACGTGTTACATTACTACCATTGCAGTAAATTAATATAATATTATGTGATAATTTCACTTTGTGGTTACTGAATGCTAAAAGTTAAGTATTTACTTGAGTGGTATCAAAAATGAGTCGCGTTGTTAAACAATTTCACAATTGTGTCTCGAGTAGCTAGCACGCCGCTGAATCTATGTAATAAAATATTTATTATTAGTTAAATTAAAATATGTATGTATAGTTAAAAATTATAATGTTAATAAGATGATTTAGTTTAGATATGATGTTGTTAAAAATTCGTGATCTTGTTTATTTCATAGAAGAGACCATTACCTAGTTTTGTAAGAAAAAATATGTAGAAGTAATTAAGAAATATGACTTTTTTGTTAATATAAGGTAATTTTATTTAAAAAAAATTTAATTTGGGGTACATTTTTTGTTATTTAAATTGTATATTGAAGTGGTGAAAATCAAAAGGGTTCAAGTGAAATCAGATAATATTATATTTTATGTAATATAATATAATATAAAAAAAGAGGTTATAATTACAATATATTTTGTCCCAATTAATTCCCATCTGTGAATATTATTTTAACGATTTTTCGCCAATGTGTTAAATGAATTTTATTAAAAAAAAAAGAATGGGAATTGACATAAAAGATAGTGTAGAAATCAATTTTTTTCTCAGTGTTCAATTTGAATTTTAATCACTTGTTCTCTATTGGTTCTCGTCACTTTGAATAATTATTTGTTTTTATTCGGTGATTTTGTTTATATAAATTTCCGGTAACGTGTATTTTTTGTTTACAAACTGATTTTTAAACAATTATTATTATAAAATTGGGTGGTCGTTATATTGTGGTTTCAAGATCTCAATAAAAAAAAATCGTTTTCAAAAGTTAAATTTGTCAAAGTGTTAACTAACATATCAATTTATAAGAGAATTTAGTAAGAAATATCATGGAAGAGTTATTGTTTGTTTATGCTAATATTTTATGGAGAAAAATCCAACAACTTTTTTGGGGAAAAACTTTTTCCAACATTTATTTTTAACTCCCCTTGCATTAATTTCTTTAAAATCATATTTTGATCATAATTAAGGGATTTTTTAATTGAAATTTCACTAAACCCAAAATAAAGACCACCCTAATTTATATATATAAATATATAATGTATTCATATGTAACATATCGATTGATATAGACACACGACTTTAGTAATTGTTAATGTGTAATTTAATTATTGTAAACAATTCTTGTTGACAGTAGACTTTAATGTAATATCGGATTGCGCTTGGTATCCCATATATTGTCGTGTACTCAAAACTCAATTAACCAAAAAAACATTATGTATTTTTTGTAGGCAATTCATCATATCATTGAATACATTATATTTTAATATTGTGTATTGTATATTGGATACATTACAATATTATATACTCAAAAATTATATATATGAAGGGTACAGGGAAGAAACGCCTTTTTTTAATCAAAGAAAAAATCACGTTTAAATATGTACGTTTAGGCAAATTTTTATGACATCAAAGTCGCCATTTTAATAAAGTAATTTTATTCGTTTTTCTCTGTACCCTTATACATATTATATGTAAAGGTACCTAATGTATATAAATTTATAAAAAAAAGAACGAAAGCCAAAACGGTTGTGTTTATTTGGAGAATCGTGCAAAACAAACAATTTCGTTTTGAATTATATTAACGTTATTTTAATACAACGTGTACTTACGGAAATCAATGTGATGTTTACAAAGAAAAATAATATAAAAAGTAGTAATGATATGGAAATGCATTTTTTTTATTCCTCCGGTTAACATATTTGTTTCCAGTACAAAAAAACAAAAACACTATTTGACTTTAAAAGTGTCGTTTATTATGTTCGTATACAATTTACTAACTCTCTGGCAAAATAAATAATACAAAAAAAAAACAATAATGTATTGTTAATAATAAATATAATTATAATAATTACTGATGTAAGTATATAATATAATAATTATTATAATAGTATGAACGTGCATCCACCGTATATCCGATGGCTATTTGTTTTAATGTTAAAAATATGCAAAAAAAAAAGAACAATTATTTTTTTTTAACGCAAGTAAGTATATTATAAGTATATTATTATTTTGTGTGTCCAACCGTTGTTGTTCCAACCAACAAATGATTTTATAACCAACGGTATAATAGCTGTGTCTAAATTCCTAACCCAACCGTTTTAGTGTGGTTTAAGTAGCTTTGTAGCGCGGGTGTCTTTAAGACAACGAAGGTAAGTAAAGAAAAAACAGATATTATAGGTATATGTCATTAAGGCCAAATAAAAAAGGCGCGAACGCGAAAAATTAATTTTATAGAATTTTTTTTTTACACGATCACTGTTTGTATTATATGATGTTTTTAACGGCAAATAAATGCGCGGTTGGTTAGCTTTTATGGTTCGTTAAACAGAGTTTTTGTTGGTTTTATATTTACCTTCATTTAGTTTTATAAAAGAATTAAAGAAAACCTTACCGACAAATGCAACGCCTGTCTGTTGACGGGTTAGTCATTATGTACGGCTCTTACACTGTCAATAAAAAAAAAAAACTACTCAAGAGAAAACGTAAGTTAAATAAACATTCCGGCATAATGTATATGGCAATGATAAATAAATCAATCGTACAACATTAGTTTCAATTTACGTATTTTGTTATTCAACCGAAACGGACAATTTATTTTGACGGTGAATCTGATTTGTTTTTTGATTGATAATATTTTAATTAACGGAACAGAATCACATAATATAATATTGTGTCGCGATGCAAAACTGTGGGCGGTATTTATAGGTCTGGCAAGAGGTCGTTTGACAAATGAGAGGATTTGCCGGTGTACGTGATTTCATTAAAATGCGACCGGGAAAAATATCAGCCATAAAATTACACTGAAAACACAATCCGGAGCTATCGATTTACCTCTCAAACAACTAGTATACAATTACTTATAATAAGGACCAACGCACGCAGTCACGGCTAGTTACACTGAAAACGGTTGCCAACTCTTGTTATCTTGTTAAGCCGATTTGGAACATATTTTTTTTTCCTAAACGGCTATAACACCTGTCAATACTCTCTGGCGGTGTGTACACTCTAATTTCCAGCCGAGTATTACAAAAAAGAAAAATATATATTTACCAAACGTGGTTGCGTCAAATTCAATTTTATTTTTTTTACAACAAGAAAAAAACCACTCAACGAAACGTTATTTACATAAAATACATAATAACTATATTTGTATATATATTTACATATATATACCTATGTAATTATCGCGCATAGCTATAACAATAATTATTTATCATTATCCTAAGCAAATCGTCGTGTGACCAATCAAAGTTGTTTAAACAACAAAAAATAATATATAAATTGCACTAACAAAATGGCGTGCGGCAGACCCCGGACCTAACTTAACCTTGGAAAAAACAATAAAATACGAGCCGGTGGGGAGGGGGGGGTGTTAGTATTTGTTAAGAGTTTTGTGTGTGATGTGTAGTAGATACCGGCTTTGGTAATGTTAATATTTTTCTTTCGCGTCTGGGATGAGGGGCAAACACACCTGTTTGATTTTTCCAAACTTACATGGCACAAACCTATATAATAAACACGGGGAGGCGGGTTCATCGGCTCCTGGCGTCGTCGCCATCCGGTTCGAAGATGGTCTTAGGAACGATCACGCCCAAAGGCGAGTACTGAGCGGCGCCGGTGGACTTTTTGGATTTGCCGGACTTGACCTTGACAATGGTGGGTGCGGTAAGGATTATCGGCCCTGTCTTGCCGGCCCCACAGGACTCCTTGGCCTTGCTATCGTCGGCGGCCAAGACCAGCCGGCAAGCATCGGCACAGCTACCGTCTCGGCCTACGCACCCGCCGCCACAGTGGTCACCGCCGTGCTCGAGGTCCTGAGGGGTTCGAAGGCGGTGCCCGTGGGGACGCCGAACGCAGCAGCACAGAGCTGACGCTATGCCCTTGTTCTTGCCAACCCACGACCGGACCGTGGGCAAGACGATCAGCGCCACGCCGGCTGAAGCCAACAGGGCAATGACTACCTTAACCAGGATAGGTCCCACGAAGAAGCACAAAAACAACAGGTTGTTAAGCGAGTCCGGCAAACTCTTGATTTCCTGCGACAAAAAAAAAACCAAAAGATTAGTATCGAATAACCACCGTTAAGCTTTAGACTGGGTCTAAAAAATAAATTGTTTTTTACTCGATAGGCACAGTTTTACCCCCCCCCCCCCCACTTTTTCAATCATTAGTAGCCTATCAAAATAAGAAATCCCTGAAATTTCACATCTTTAGCTTAGCTCTATGTACTTACTCGTAAATTTATTGTTTGCATTTGATTAACACGGGAAATTTGAATTTTGAATTTTAAACATTTTAACTTGAAAATGAATTTAATTTTGTCAATATAAAAAAAAACTCTACCAGTGCATCTCTAAGTACTCAATGGCTCAATATAACTCCTATACTATTTCCTATTTGAGAAGCAAATCGAACCCAATAGCCTAAAAGCGTTTGTCTTTGTATGTTCTTATCCTATAGATTCGGTCAAGTAAAATCTACACGGCCAACTGCTTAAGTTACTAAGAAAACATAACTGGCAGTTTTTCAATAGAGCGAGGATTCTTTGATTTTAAAAAGCACATTAGTAGATTGAAAAAATTAATATATTTATAAAGTATGAAAGTTTAATCGTAGAACTAATACATTTTAAAATTTAAAAAAAACAGATTTTTAACGCTAGATGATTTTTGTGGAAAAAATGATATTTTAATAAAATGTAATAGAGCTTAAACAAATAGTGTCATTCTGGATAAAAATCAATAGGTTCTAGGTTATTGGGAAAAGGGACTTGATCAAAATTTATATTTTTTTGGAAGGGTAAGGTTATAATCCCCTTTTTAACGGTTCTAGAGTTTTCGAACGTGCGGACACAAAGAAATCACGTAAGTGTTAATACAAAATCTTTTCAGTTCCGCTTCAATGGTAAACATTGACATTTCAGAATCACTAGAAATACGCTTATTTAAAAAATAGGGGAAGCGCGCCTGGTATGGCTATACTACGGCTTAGGTTATTACTATACAACAGTGGTATTTGCAAGCAAAGCCAACATACAAGCATTTATTTTTCCAGCTATATTTCCCGAGCGACCCAGTATTATATAAAGTGGTTGACTTGATAATTTATTACATAGGTACTATTTAGACGCATATACAATATGTATATTATATATACTCAAAAACACTTCAGACGTGTACGGTTCTTTACAAAACCAACATCTGATAATCAAGCGTACTACATAGTCTCACCTTTTCCATAGGGAGGTGGTGGAGAGGTGTAGGGTGGAAGTAGAAACTTACTAACAAAGAAACCTTTGATCGCAGATAAGTATAAAAATGAAATTGAATAGAATTATTAATGATATTGTATGAGAAGCCTTAGGGCGGTATTAATTTGTAAGCCTTCATTGTAGAGTACAGCGTTTTGATTTTGTTTAATGCAGCCCCTATGTATTATTACTATTTTCTTAATATATATATATATAATATATATATAATATAAAATCGTGCTCACTATACACTAAAGTAGTTCCATATTGATTTTGTGTGATACTAAAACGGTTAAAATATGTCATTGGCGCGCACGAATTATTATTTATATTGGCGGTGCACGGGGGTCTTATCTACTTGTAAATCGCACATAATACCATTACATAATATTTAAAGTTTAAGCAGTACTTTACGCGGAAAGCCTTACGGTTCTTATGGCACTGTCGCCGGTATGTCTTGCGGGTTAACCCTTCTTATAACGAGTTCCTTTGGAGCAACGGCACACACATAAACACTTACATTGTAACGGCATCTCTGGGGAATATCATCGTGTACTCGAGTGGACGAAAACCGAAAAAATAAATTTTAAAAAAAGCGTCTCGAACAATGAGCTGATTGTTTTCCGGTGTGTAGAATAGGTAATACGGCTCTTCGGGGACGATCCGAGAGACTTTCATTAAAAACACAATAGTGTCACAAAAAAAAAAAAGTATACCAGAAAAACGTGTCAAGTCTACCGAATTTTAATTGGTCAGTTTCGCAGAACTCCTGTGGTGCGGTTGTGTCGGCTCATTGAAGGGGGAAAAAACTCCCCTAGTCTATAGTGGTAGAGCCTTTACACAAACACAATGTGTATTCGTTCATCTATTCTCACCGCAAAGTATTCGACGACGCTTTTTGGAATAAAATCTTATAACGGCCTCAACCGAATCCCTCCCAATCTCTTAACCGATTTCGAAAGTGGCACAGTAACTCCAGGTCGCAAAACGAATGCGCATTAATTTGATCATTACAATGACATGATGGTAAACATAATATTTAAGTTGGTGTGAGTGGAGGAATACCCTAATAAGTAGGATGCCGGAGGGAAGTAATGTAAAGAACATTGCCTATTCGACCGGAAGTGATTTTATCATCAGCAATAAACCAAATAATCGGTTGGGAAATCAGAACAATTTTTTTTTTAGAGCTAACATTTTTTCTGTGAGCTCAGGACAAAAATGGATTTAAAATTAACGAACCGAATGACAAAAAACGATAATAACTTTAATTTCTTATTCAATTTGAAAATTATATCTTTTGCACGACTAATCCAAGTTACAAGACATTTATTTTCGTTTTAAACTTCAAATGTGTGGAAAATAACTGTTTGCCTAGAACTTAATAGCTAGTTTTTAATAATTTTTAGTCAACTGCTAAAAACTAGATGCACTGATCATACATGATTTATCGACCGTTAATATTTCAACATTAATCACCAATAACTATTTTTAAAATCCCAAGTCTCTATCTTATCAAGATTACGGTGAGCGAAATTAATACCAGAGAAACTTAATTTAGAACCCGGAATGGAAAACATCTCATTTCTAGTTTCTTAAATGGTGGTAAACACATATACTGTTGTTACAGTTAGTTAAGGTTAAACCAGACAACGTTTTTGGTTTGAGGAAGTGGATACCGATTGCAATGTATCATTTTTTTATTAGCAAACAATGCCTTACCGTCGTAGATCACCTACTTGGCAACGTACCTAATGATATATATATAATGATATATATATATATATATATATATATATATATATATATATTAATTTTATATAATCGTGGTGTACCGACATCGTCGTTACGCCATTGTCATTATAATTTCATATAAAATGTGTAGTATAGTTTGTGTGTGTGTGTGTGAGTGTACAACGTGATTGACCGTGAAACCTTTCAGACAATTAAATGTATTGTCCAAGAAAAATAAAAGATCAACTGATATAGTCAATTATGTTGGTTTATCGCCCATCGTAACGTGTCCCGACAGTCGACTAAGTGTCATTATATGTCCCGGAAATAGCAATAGAAACAACTCAGTCGACGGTACAAAATAATAATTCTCGAAAATCTGGCTACCGTAAGAGTCTGTCTAACGTCCATGGGTTTTCTGTTAAGTTAAAAACTAAAGAAATTAACTATCTATGCATTTCTCACGAATAATCAATGATGACAGTCCTTAAAAATTCATTTCTCGGACATGTTCGAAAATAATCCATTAAAAAAGAAAATTTAAATTATTTCTACATTTTGTGAATAAATTTAATATTTTAAAACCATGTTTTGGTAGGACATTGAATGTTTTAAAAAATATAATATTAAGCCAATTGCTGTTTAAGTATTATTAAAACATAGAAAACAAATTTTCATAATGTTTAAAATATAAATAAAACAAAGGAAATTCCCAAACCACATTTTTAAAATAATGTTTTTAAGGTGTATAATTATCTGCCACAACAATTTAAAATATTTAAAAAGTATTCACAAACGTTAAAATATTAATATATTTTTTTCCTGTAAGGGGAAATTATATGTTAAATTTTCTTCTTTTATTTTTGAATCCTAACGGTTTGTATCGCATCAAAAGCACTTGATTAAGTAAGATGGAACAGATGACCTCGTCCCAAAAATTGAAAAAGTCACAAGACGATATTTTAAATTCAATCACAAAAAATAAATTATTAGGGCGGTGCCGACAGATAGAAAGGACTATTTTTTCTAAAAGAAAATAATATAATTATTAGAAGCTATGAAGGAGCGCAAGATATTTATAAAAGAAAATTTCAAGATTAAGAAGCTTTAACCCAATACTTCAAGGTAGAAGTTCAGACTATACTATTTAAATCCCTTCGATTAAGCGGATTATCATTGATATTGTAATTAATTGTAATAAAATTAAAAAAAAACAATTAATGTCAACAATACATTTTAATGGTTCACCTTCAACACAATATTATTTGTTTAGTATTTAAACAAACGGGCAGTTGGACAAACACAAATTAAGTTATAGTTAAGGTATTGACATTGCAGTTCGTCGAAAATATTCAATCTTTTCTGCGTTTCAAATAACCTTCTCATAGAAAAACAAAATTTGTTTGACTGAAGACGATGATGACACATTTTGAAGCTTTACTTTAGCAGTATTTTTCTTTTTTTATTAGCAAACAGACCAGGGTGCAAATGCAAACAACTGTTAAAATTAAAAAGCCATTAAATAAATACAACAAAATAGAGATGCAAATTATAGTTGTTATTTTAAATTTTGATTGACCCAAACTGCTTGCAAGTTTATAGATTTGTATAATGCACTATTCAATATTGTTTGTGTTTGAACGGTGTACAATATTTTATCATCATTGTCACTCAACCGACGGCAGGACGAAACTATTCAATTGAACTAAGTGCGGAACTATGATTTTGATTGTTGGCCAAGACGATACGATAGAAGATTTATTTTTATTTATCACCTACAGAGCCAAAACGTCAGAATACAAAAATCAAATTATGAAAATAATATATTATTATATTGAATTGAAGAACAGACCGGAAACAAATGAACCGAACGGTCGTTTGAACGCCAACGCCTGTTTTACATTTGATAACATATATATATATATATATATATATATATAGAATATAATATATTCGTTTGACTTTGTCGCATAGAGAGAATTTATTTTTCAATAATATTACCCTTTGACTGAAAATTGCTTTACAAAGCGTAGAAAACTGTACGTTTTTCAA